GGGGGGGGGGGGGGGGGGGGATTGAATCACGTTATTTAAAACATTATCGATGGACTAATTTTAACCAGTATCTTGCCAAAATTCATAATATACAGGATACATGTGCAGGAAAAACATGTTATTTGTAGATGCTCCATCCACCCAATGAAACCGAAATTAGGATTATTATTTATGTAAATTCTACATTTTTTTTCATGACATCGGGGAATCGATGATTTTTTCGGCTGAGTTATTTTTTAATAATTATTTTCTCAAATCTCTTCGTTAGATACATATTTCAATTATTATTAGAAATTTTGCTTCTCGTAATTGACTTATAACTAACTTTAATATACCTAATCACCCAGTTTACATGTTTCAAGGGAGATAATTCTAATAAAAAGTGTACCTATAAGAACAAACATTTCTGTGTTTAGAAATTTCCCGTTAAAACTTCACACTTAATAAGACTTTTCTAATGGGAAGCAGATGTACAGGACTTCCCAAAATCTTCAAAATTGTCTTTAGCTTTCGAAATAATTATTTGTTTCATGCTTACCTGCTCTGGTTATAACTGCAAGTGCTTACAAAGACATCCTCCCCAATCTCCAATAAAACATCTTGGATTTCAGCGTGGCAACCAACTTGTTATTACATATATATACATTATATATACATTATATATATATCAGCTGTAAAACGGAAACATTTATGACAAAAATGTTCAATTAAGTGCAAAAGATGAAGTAATATTCATCCGAAAGGAGTGAACTAGTATTGAAATTGATAAGTGATGTTTCTTTGACTATTTCCAGGAGGACATTGCCTACCAGATACAACACCACGAAAAGTTACTAAGGGCTGAATACCTGGCTATGAAGGTTCGTTACGAGACCAGACTGGAAAACCTTCAGAAAGAACACATGAATCTTCTGTCCTTGCTAGACACAATGCAAAGGGAGAAAACCCTGGACAAGGAGATCATTCGGGGTGTCCAAAAAGGCATGAGCCAAATGAAAGTAACTTATGCCAAGGATCTTGTAAAGTGGGATGCGGAAAAAGACATCCTCGCCAGACACATCAAGGAGGTAGGTGACATGCTGTCAACTTTAGCTTTGCTTGTTGATCGATCTGTGTTGTATAGGCAGCAATATACAGTAGAAATGGTTTGATTCTGAAAATAAAGGGCAAGCCTGAGATAGCATTGATGTTGAATCATCCTGCACAACACAACTAATATATAAACAACATTATAAATACATTTTAGATAATTGAAAAACAAAATTTCAGGTAGTGTTTTCGCCGGATTCTTGCATTGCAGATAGTTGTATGTTAATTGAACCCTTTCAGTTTCTGAAAGCCTGTCTGAATTTAAACATCATTTACCCGGTAAAAGAACACACATATATATATATAATGTTATAACATTTTAGCAAAACTTGATCTTTCAAAACTGTATAACTTAACAATTTAGTTTGGAATCAAATATTAAACCCGTCAATGTTTCTGGTTTATTCCAATATAGTGCACCTTACTACATTTTCCTGTCGCATTCTTATTCAGATCGACGAGGGCCGAAAGCTGGCAAAAGATATGCAGGGCAAAATCGAAGAGTTGAAAAATCAGCTTGCTGACCAGGAGTATGAGAGGGCAGAGCTGGTCAACCGGATCACTACAGAACGATCAGGGTGGGGTGTAGACAAATCCAACATGCAAAGCAAGATTAATCAGGTACAAGACATACCATAAATCATTGTTACGGTGATTACCATTGGTCATTGCTACAGCAAATATCATTGGTGAATACTATGGTGAATACCATTGGTCAACATAACTACGTGAATTTAATTGGGCAACATTGCAGATGAAAATTTCGCAAAGAGTAACGGTGATTTTAATTGGCCAGCTAATAATTTTATTTATCAACGTTACATCGGCTACCATTGCTAAAAGTATTTGAGTACGTTATCGTTCGGCGATATTTCGGGTGTCATCATATTGTGAGCCAAATCTACTAAATTGACTAATTTGGTTATATGATTCTTTCTAAGATAGAGGTATAGATTCGATTTATTATATCATGTTTTAGCACAGTCCTTTTTCTCGTAATCGAGCCCCGGTGTTGCATTTTAACGTTCGGATGGTGTATGACTGAACCAGATTGTTTTCTACAAATATCATCACTACAATTCGAAATTCATTCTTGCAATCAAATCTTATCATTGCACTCGCTTTTAGTTTGTCTTGGAGCCTGTGTGATTTATGAATATATTTCAAGTGCACATATCGATTTTGTTTTATTAAATTAAACAAAGGCTTTTATGAAAAATCTATTGCATGCAATTCAATCTAACCTACAGCAATGACGTGACAATGAGAAAAACACTTGTTTTTGGAAAGTTTAAGCATTCAGCCGCATATTCTTCCCAAACCAACATTTAATAAATTTTCCTTGTTGCAGCTACAAGAGCAGCTAGCCATGGTATCCCAGGCCCAGAACAGAACCAAAAACATGCAAAACCGCATGGAGGTCGCGTGGGAACAAGAAAGGTCCGAACAGAAGCGACTCCTAGCGGAGGCTCATTCACTTGCTCTCGACCTTCAGAGCCAATTAAAGGCACGAGACGAAGAGTATGTAAGGGAAAGGAAGATGTTGATTGAACAACTTCGACGCATGCGTACTGAGATCGATGAAGAACAATTGAGTCGGGATTCTCGCCAGAAAGAGGTATAGTATTGGAAAAACATATAACGTGAATATGTGAACTGATGATCGGTGGCTAAAAAGAATTGTGAGTTGTTGCAGCGCTATTTGCTGTACATATGACGTTTAAGAAATATTTACAATAGCTAGTAAACAGTTCAATTATGACATTAATTTAGATTTGATTTCTTCAATTAACTCCTTGTACTTCCAAAGAGTAACACACAGAATACGATTAAATCGAGTTTCTGAGGGCGCGTTTCATGAATGATGCATACAGACCAAGAATATTTAATTTATCAGTTTTCCCTTGCAAAATCTTATCCTTCACATCACATGCTTTAACCATCACATATGCGTTGTTGTTAAGTTTTCATTTCAACATTATGAATAAAATTGCTAAAGCATTAAGTTGTACTTATTTATGAAAAAATGAAACCAGTAGCCCTGAGATCACAATATATATATATATATATATATATTACATTTTTTATATTTTCTTTTTCTCTCTAATAGATTGACGAGAGAGGATTGCGAATATCGGAACTAGATAGGATACTGAAGGAAGTAGGGGAAAGGGCTTCTAAGGAGCAGGAGATGTCAGTTAAGGAAAGGGCTGACCTGGTCCGGAGGCTGGGTGAGATGAGGAAGCAGCACAAGAGAGACCAGAGGAGGGTTGAGGATGTTCTCACTGGGGTACGCATCGCTGAGCCATGTAATATGCATAACATGGGTCACAAATTCATATTGTTATAACGTTTAACCCGAAAAAAATAAGTACCATTTAAGAGTAAATGGGTAACTGTTCATAATTTTCCCGATTGTAGAAATCCGGTAACAAAGCACAATCATTGAAATGATTCTTACAGTATCACTCTTCCTTTTTCCTTCTGATATTTTTAAGTCAATGTCATTTACATTGCTACCGAAATCCTTGTTTAAATACTTTAAAAGTGGAATTTCTCGCGGTGTGGAAATATAGGCGCTTTTTGCCGTTGAGTAAATTAACGCCGAAATGTCCACATACCAATATGAATTGATAGATTATGTAGATTTTAGGTATATATTATGTATAGATTTCAGAACAATTTCTAGTCACAATTTCTACAACAATGCTAACATTTTTAAGAGTCACAACGCCGTCATTTCCGCACGCGAACATTTCCACTTTTACAGTAATTCAGATTTAAACGTTATATATCCTCAGATCTGTTACATTGCCGAATTGTAAACCCTCTTCTTGACATCTCTTATATATGGAATATAATATACACTATTCACATTTGTAGATACTTGATATGTATTTAATGTCACGTTTTACGTTATTCATATGTGCAGCTGACGCGGTTAAAAGAGCTTGCTGCGATTGTTTCGGACTCTGAAAAAGAGGGTAATACCTCAGATACTGAACTAGTCTCACGACTGGAGAAACTAAGTACGGGTCCACTTCCGGAATTAGACGTCGACTTAGCAGATCCAATGCACTTGTCTCCACGGAAATCAATCCGACAACGTATCGATCAGGTCACACTCTATCTAAATCTCTTTATGTATTTGGTCCGATATTGTTTCGTGTATTACTACTATACATTAGAAATAATTGTTACATCTCCAATTATCTCCTTTTATTTCGCAATATATGTTTCTCATTCTTATTCAGTTTTTATACTCGCATCATGAGGATTTTGTCATCTGTTAATGAAAGCCCCATATAATGGTGACAATCTAGAAATATGGGATCTTATTTCGTTTTATTTTATTCATCGCCCTTCCTTTTTCCTACCTTTATATAATTATTCTGTCCCTTTTCTTGTTTTCTTTTCTGACATTTGTATTTTCTTTCATTCGGTAAATATTGTGGTATACGAAATGTAGTTTGATCATGTATTCAGAAATAAAATAGACACTATGATTGTACTAAAAATAGAACATGGTTCATCGGTACACTTGGGCATAAATCCCTGAATCAGCAGTTTGGTTTAGTTTAGTTTAATTTTGTGTAACGACGTATTAATAGCCAGAGTCATTTAAGGACGTGCCTCCATGTGTATAGTGTATGCGTTCTTGCGTGTGTGCAGGAGACAGGGACGTTGGCGTTCTTGCCTCCTAGTGATAGCGCGAATCTGATGCCGACTTCATAGTGCTATCTCACTGAAATGCCATGCTGAAGGCACCCAGCACAGCATTTCGCCCGGTCACATTATACTGGCAACGGGTGAACCAGCTGTTACCATTTCCCTAAATGCTGGACGTTAAGCAGGGAATAATAACTACCATTTTTAAGGTCTTTGGTATGTCCCGGCCTGGGGTTATTAATACGACAATAAACGCTATTGTCCTAAATCGGCGGAAAGATTATATGTTACAGGGATGGAGCTCATTTTACCGGTCTTTAACTTAAAAGTGCTATTGACTATTGAAAACGAACCAATCAAAATGTCTTATGTAGGTGACGAGCCAATCGTGTGGGAAGAGCTAGTACTCGGCCTTGACCGATACATGTTTGACGTCATTGCAGAAAATATTGAAAGAGCAGAAAGGGATCTCTATAGGTTTTCGGAAATTACGACTTGGAACGTTTTTTGACTCTTCTTCTTTTTTTGTCGATGCGAGTCGTCTTGATAGAATTAACAATTAAAGTATAGGATTCGGAATAAAACAAGCTTCTCGTGTCCTCCTGCAAGACCTATCCGCTAAACTTTGCCACGGAAAAACATACCTGGTCTCGGGGAGCAAGAAAATTCGTAATCCCTCAAACCCATACATTAACTCTAGACATTTTGATTATGATCATTTTGAATACAGTATATTCAATATAATTGTATTATGCTACAAAGATTATATTTATCTAAACAAAAATTATCTCATCATTTTAGAATTTTCTTTTTACATTTTTCAATATTTTGTTGGTAATATTTATAATTTGTTATTTATACTCAATTACCATTCCAACATTTATTTGTTTTTTTCTTTTGTTCCAGGTTGTTTTAAAACATATAAAAGAGGTAAATGTTTAAGTCATATATATTTATCATATATCATCCCAATCACTTATTAGTATATTTCGTAATATATGAATACATGTAAAAATAGGAAATATACATATGTAATTGTATATTGGTTGCTATGTGTTTATGATAGCGCCTGAAAATGTATTTTTTGTTAGAAGTTGGAAATGTTAATATCAAATACAACATATAATACCTTCTTAATAAATATATGCGTCTTAACGAGTTCATTTGATCGGGCAGTGTTATATATAATTTCTGCATGTAAAACAAAATATTCGCCAATCCACCAATAGTGCATACGGTTTCCGGTTAGGGGAAACAAGCCTGCATTGTCCTATTGAAAGATTACCTAATGTCTGACATTCCCGCCATTTCAGTCTCTGAAGGAGATACATTTCGCCGTGGAGGACATTGGGCGTCCCCGTGAGATATCAGAGGAGGAACGCAAGAAACTCCGAAGGTTGGTCCGATTTATTTCTTCTCTAATTTTGATGTTTTTAAATATTTGCTATTTTATCTCCTCTTGAGGATGAATTAGAAATAGTTTAAAAAAAACACACACCTTCTTAACATTTTAGAAGAACATCGTTTTACATGTTTCCTCAACAGATGAATGTTAAAACAACAGTAAATTGTTATTTTTGGTATTATTTTGTTTTATATTACTGTTGGTCTTTACTTTAAACTTGATTTTTGATATTTTTTTCCATTGTAGAAGTTTGTCGAGCTCCGAAATCGACTTCCTAAAGGAAGACTTTTCAGCGGGCAGACAAAGGGATTCAGGAAAATTTGATTCACCAAAAGCATCGCCACTTACAATCCAAACAGACACAGCCTCACCGAGATATCTTAGAAGTGTTACACACAACGGATCTGGTGATCTCCTTAATCAACCCGCTTGTGACCTTCTACTTGAAATAAACCCTATTACGTCACTTCCGTTACGACAGAAATTCATAATGGCAGACGTGCATTATGAACAGAGTGTTTCAACGAAGTTTCCTGATCCACCGCCTAGTTTTCTTATTTCTCCAAAATCACACTCCAGACAGACGTTAACAGATACGACGTTTTCGTTATACTCCCAAAAGACTTTATCCTCAAAATCACAAGATGCCAATCAACCTTTAAACGTTAATAAGACAAGACTCGCTCCCACTAGTATATCACTGGATACGACCAGAGTGAATTCTTTACACACCGGTTCTCAGAGTAAACTCAATACAAAATCCGTTTCTGCGGGAGGAACTCCCACATACGAATCGGCAAGCCTTCTTTCTTCCATTCCAGTATTAAACAGGGGTACCTCATCTGACACCTCGCTTTCACCTCGTTCCGGAAATTCGTCCAATTCCGGAAGTTATGAACGCCTTACACCTAGATCTGCCAGACGAAAGTTTTTCGAAGATCAAAGTGACTTGCAACCATCTTCTTCAATGTCAGAAAAAAGTCAAAGTTGTGAAGGTATCCAAGAGGATAAGATTTCAACAAAACCTCCCACCGTCGACACCAAACGTCTCCGATTACAGCATGATGAATCAGAGGATGACATGATAGGACAATTAATTGAGGATACCAAACCGCGGATACTAACACAGTCAGTTTCTGTCGATGAAAAGACGTCACATTCAGTAGCAAAATCGTCAAGTACTGAGAGTAAGAAAAGTAAACCCGAAAAACCAAAACGGAAAATAATAAAACGTTCCCAGAGCGTCGATAGTTCCGTGAAGAAATCTGTAGCCAAGGCGGGTATCACTGCGATGTCACCGGGAGCTCCTTCCAATACCAAAGCGGTTGAGCTTTTCGCAACAGTGCGAAGGAAAATAAAAAACACACTGAAAAGGTCTTCATCTATGACAGATGAAGAAAAATCAACGGCGAAACAAGGATCTAGTTCTGAGGCGAGCGGGTCCACTTCGGGAGAAGAGTTCAACAAAGCAGGTGGACAGAAATCGTCTGGGATGGTATACAGACCGTCAACTAGTGTACATAAACCAATGGTCGGAGTACAGAAAAGTACTACGTCACCCGAACATGAATCACAAAGTAAACCACCCCCTACGCCACCTATATCCTCTATGAACAGACGCGCACTTCCGGAGGTAAGAAGGGATGCTAAGTAGTTTGTAGATTGCCGTGTAGATGTAGTCTGTGTTTGTGTGTTTCGTCGAGTATTTTCCATTAAAACACCATTGCCAGCTGGTGTCGGAAAAAAACGTCATAACTGTAACACTAACACTGGGCTAACACTGAAACTAACACTGGTGATATAACAAGAGGCGTTATCAAACTTTGAACGATTCTGTTTTTCAGATGGAGGATGATGCGTTAACTAATGGCAGGAAACGAATTCCGGATATAAGTCCGGACAACAAACCGAATAAGCGCTTAAGATCAAAATCTGCAGAGCGCGCAACCCGAGGGCCATCTGCCCTGAAACAACAGGTAATACTGGAAGAAGACCTTTTACCCGATAGGTCAAAAGTATTCAGTGAAACAACGGTGTGATATCAACACATCGACGTCAATATGGACATGATCGGGAGCTTTTAATTTACAATAATATACGGTGTCAGTATTATTTTTACTTAAGAAAATTTTAAGAGTTTTTAGAAAATTCAACTTAGTTTAACACTATTTGAACGTACCTGTTACATGCAACATTTTCCAAACTATTTTAGTGTTTGAAATTCTGTCGTCATGATTACTGTAAACGTGTCTATATTAGCGAATTTATATTTTAGTGCTCGGTTGCACATAAGACATATTAGCACAATCAGAAATTGTACTTCTTCTCCTTTCTTGACCAGATGTATTTCAGACAATGGGTACTGATATTGTTGAAACTATACATAAATAAGCTCACGTCGCATGATATGGTGCATTATGCCTGGATTAATAAAAACGCTAAAATTTGAACGTTTACGGTACACGTATTTAAATGATGGTACGTCTGCAAGACGCAGAGGAATGCATGCAGTAATCACTCTGGAATTCTAAATGATTCAACCTTGCTAATAGCAACTAGAAGTCACTTTAACACAAATCACAGCTTCACTGTATAAGACACCATGTATCCTTGACTCAAACACTGATCACTGGTTGTAAGATCTGTTTGTTAGAGCAATGTTTTCACCTTAACAAATCATAGATGTCATGAGTAAGATAAAACAAAGTCAAACATGGGACTATATATACTCTCAAAAAAAACATAAATTGGGACATGGTGAGTAGGTCAGATATAACGTTGTCTCGGCAAGGTTTAAACACATGCAAACAGTTATTTTAGACATAATACAGCGAGATGTCATTTACACCATTCAACATGCAGTCTCCTTAATTAATACCCAACATTGTGTTCTTTATAAATAACATTACAAAACAAAAGAAATGCATTGGTTTTAAACATTACGCAAGTGTTATACTACGTGCTTTTTAAATCATTTATTCAATAATGTTTACAATACATGAATATTAAAGCTATCTTATTATTTGCTTATTATTTGCTTATTACTCCTTCTCGTGAACGTAAAATGGTACTCAAAGTCATGCGTGCTAGTTTTACAATTATATAACTATCACGTGAAAATACATTATGTAAAATAACGTGGTAAGTGAAACGTTGATTTCCATACTAGCGAATAAGGTCAGAGGTCAGCAATTATGTATACGCAAAATATTAGTAGTGAACTCGTGCGTGCCCTTTATAGTTAAAAGTCCCTTATTTAAAAAAAAAAAAATGTATTTTCGGAAACTAGATATGTAGTTGGTTTGCGTTCGATGATGAAAAATTAGGTTCGTGAAGAAAATGTTGTTTTTTTTTTTTCTGATTATGCAGGAATTTGTTTGGTTTCCAATTATATTTTGTTGTTTTGGCGAAAGCGATTAATTTAGAGAGCAAATATTGTTAACACACTCGACACTCGCACACTTTCACATGTTGATCGCAATTTGTTCGATTGATTACAAATATTCATAAACGTGAATTTAGACACAAACTTGTTATAACATACACTGCCTTTAATTTTACTTGTGTGTTACATAAACACACACACATATATGTACATAAGTAAAAAGGTTTTAACTCCTTCTGAATGTTGATGAAAGAAAAACAAATTTGTAAAGATTACAATCCTCAAAAACTTTCACCTTTTCGGGTGGTTCAGGAAGACACCGGGCCAGTATTCATGAAACCTTCCTCATGCCCAAACTCATATTTTTGTGCTCAAACCCAAATTTCTCATTCTGGTGAAAAATTGATAAAAGAAATATATAATTTGTCGATGATCTGGAAGAATGTTGGAGAAGCTCTGCTGCTGATTATCATTTTCGATGTTTAAACATTGCTTTTTTGAACGTGTCACATGATTTAAGCCAATTATAAACAAAGAGGTTTGAGCACAGAATCCATGCTTGATCACGAGAACGGGTTTTATGAATACAGACCCGGAATTATTGCGACATAATACGAAATGCTAATGATAGCAGGTGAACATCAAACATTGTTGATGTGATAACAACCGCGTCATCAAGTGTTGACGATAACTTGTGACCAGGTGCATATAATGTGTCATAATACTGTCAGTCAATCAGACAATCATCTTGAAGCGCCCGAAGATGCGACAGTACTAGACTACTGTAATTTTGGTTTTGTTTTTATATATATAGTTGTAGGTTTTTTTTACGATTGCTGCAATGATAGTTATATACGCTTTAGTTAAATTATCACTTATGTTTTTATGTATGTCAGATAATTTCGTATACTCGTAGAATTTATTTTTTAATTATATTGCACTTGATAAGGTCACTTCACGCATGAAAAATATTCTATTCACCACTGATGAACTTAATATTCACGCAGAAGTCCGCAAAGTTATTTTCTTTCATTTTGATTCATTGCATTCACGGTTTGAAAATGTATTTTTTCTATATCAAAACAAAAGATCATTCTAATCATCACTGATGAACTTGATATTCCCCTAGAAGTCTGCAAAGTTATTTTCTTTCATTTTGATTCATTGCAATAAAGGTTTGAAAATATAATTTGGTAAACAAAACAAAAATTAATTGTTTTTTTCTTAAAATCACCTATACAAATAACATTACAAACTTAATTATATGAAAATTATTGTTAATTTTCATTAATGTGTGGACAATTTGTTTCTTATCAAATTTTCAAAAGACTACTAATCTATACACGATTGTATTTGATTTTTTTTTTTATCTGCGTCCCATTTAAACAATAACTTTGATGTGTGCTTTCACTGTAGTATAAGGCGTTGCTAGTACATACGGAAAGTAGAGTGGCTATTTATATAGTAATTTATTACAGGTTTTGTTGTTTTAGTTATAATCATATGGTAAGAGATGAAAACTGATATATCTATTTTAAAAATATTTTTCCTGTTGTCTGCAAAATACATTTTGTTTTATGTTGATCTCTGATTAAAATCTTTAAACCTCCTTAAACGAGTAGATTTGTGTTGTTTTCGAGGTTACACTGTTCTCAACATTTCCTGTGACAACTTCAATGTCTCTGTTATACATTTTCCTTTTCTCAGTAGAAACATACCTGCCTCCATCGCTTTTGGAGTTCTCACGTCACAGATGTTTACTACTCCAACGTTCTAAGAATTACGATTTTCAAAATGGATTCCTCCGGCTGAGGTATAAATCATATAACCGTGATTGCTTCAAAGTTTTTCAATCTAAACTGAAAATACATATCGATATCATAATAAGTTTTTCAATTATAGTTTTGACTTTAAGCAAAAGATTAGGACCTTTGCACTGCGGCTTAGATATCTGATGACCACTTTGTTGTTGGAAATACATCTGAAGTATTTGTTGATTGTTTGTATTAACCTTGCCTGTAGGCTGTGATCTATATAGTAACCAATTCAGAATTGTTTTCTCGAAAATGGTTTTTATTGTTTTACTTTTAATATTTGAAGCAGCACACCAATGTATTTCGGGATATTGATAAATATTTTTATGTTCTGTAATTACGTTTAATCGTCATTTTATTCATGGACCTCGTTGAACCACCTGGCTATGGATGACGTCAGAGCTATAAATAGAATTCGTTGATCAAACTGGCTGTCGATTACGTCAGAGATCTCACTGAACACTCTGATTGTGAATAACATCATATCTATTTATAGACCTCACTGAAGAACTCTACCAGGAAATCCTGTACTATCGCTTTGTCTGGTATGGTGGCGATCATTCCGTACATGGCGGCTGTCCCCTCCTTGGCAAGAGACTTGTTTTTCTAAAACAAATAATAAATTAACTTTAATCTCTTCAATCCTTGCAAAATATAGCTTCAATAGAATAAAAGTGCAATTCCCTCACTGAGTTATAATATATATATCTTACTGGTAAAATGTAATAAGTTATGAAACCGCTATCATTATTATTTTTAACTGACCTTGACCTCCTGCGTTGAATCCTCGAGGTCTTTCAACAGAGAATCCGAGACTCTCACGTGATGAGGAAGAATAGAACAATGTAGACAGCTAGGGTTCTGTTGTCTTTCCATGTGCCAACCTGTAATAAACGATTTCTTATTTAACTGTAGTATTTAGAATGATACAATAAAAAAAGTGAAAGCACTTTACACAATATTCACAAAATTCAAGGTACTTTCTAATCCTTCGTAATATCGTTACACATTGCTAGATTTAAAGTAACTTTATGAATGAACGTACTTTTGTCTTTGTGAGTTGATTTTTGACTATGAATGTAATATACCCGGACATCTTCTTAGAAACTTACCTTTCTTGCCCATATCATCCGCTACTGCCTGAATGTCAACATCCGGGTCACTCGATCCGACTGAGAAACACGTCATAACCGGTTCCCCCAGCACATATAAGCCCTGCCATGGATAGAAGGGCAATAATTATATTGTCGTGCACTTGTCAGGTTAATTATGATTTGTGCAAGTGAACCACGTTCGATAGAAAAGTAATACACTCTTGCTTGCTTCATCCGGTGCATATTTGTAACACAATCACTTCGACAGTGAATGCTCTCTCTGGCTTCGACTAGTACTCTATGCAATGTATCCTATATTTACATTTCCACTATAATTTCCTCTATACGCATTTTACTAGAGGAAATTGCGTTCATATTGCTATGAACACAATCTGATCAGCGCCATGTTCATGCCGGTATGAACGTCGAAAATATGCCGTTCAACCCCTATGAAATCTACACGGATAATTATCTGTGATGTGATATCTAAATATAGTAACACGTGCCTGTATCTTAGCGACGCCCTGTTTGAGTTTGTCGGTGGTTGCCATGAGTTCCCTGGCCCGCTCCATGTAGCCGTCCACACCCAAAGCCATCATAGAAGCCCATGCTGCGGCGATGTTCCCACCTATAAAACGATGATTAGAAATACGAGAAAGGAACAACTTATTTGAAAATCTTGTTTGTTTGTGCATTCAACTTAACAAAGTTAACATTGTACTGCCCCATATGGCCTTTCCGTCCATTTAGGATTCATTAATGACAATTAAGTTACAAAAATGTCTAAATCATATGTAGTATACAACGCAATATGAAAGAGCCTAAAGAACCCTTCATAACGTTATAAATTTCATATTTTGGCTACGAGAGATAATTACACTCAAAGCCAGTATTGTCTAAAATTATGGAAAATAACATTAGTTATAATTGATAAAACAAAAAAGGCATACAAATCACTATAATACATTAAGGACATACTTAACTCAATATGCATATAAATGTATATATAAAAGGTGGTGTTTAATGACGTCTGGGAGAAGAGCCTAAAATGAATTCCTTAAAGTGTAGGTCGTCATATCCTGCTTGGATTTGGCCAGGGTAAGCTATTCCACAGCGTGGCCGAAACCACCCCAAAGCCCCAGTTTCCATAGGTCAAAGTACAAGATTTTTGGACAAACAATAATGATTCTGTCTCCGACCACAGTGATGGTGACGGCTGATACAGGGTATCAAGCTTCTGCAAATGCTGGAGAGCTGACTTGTACATTCAGTGCCTTGTATGTGTACACCAAAATATTGTACTGCGACCTGTATAATACATGTAACCAGTACACTGAATAAAGCGCAGGATTCTCACGAGTAACCAGACGTGCTGCAGTGTTCTAGACCCTCTGCAGACGGCTAGTTAGTTTGTCAACTATACCAGAGCATGGCTTTACCATATTCCAAGCGGGAGGTAACAAGTGAATGCACTAAAATCTTGCATGCATCTGCAGTTATAAACTGCCGGATACAGCCGATTTTCCTGACTGGTAGAAACAGGATTCGGCAATAGCATTAGATCGAAGTATACTCCTAGGTTGTTTTGGCACCGACCTTGGGCTGGAGAGTCATTGTTTGCTGACACTTTTGGGGTAAGGCGATTATTTCCGTCTTTTCCTGATAAAGCTTTAGCATGTTGGCTTTCATCCAGGTACTGATGTCTGTCAAACAAGCTTCCAGATTTTCTTAAATGATATCCAAACTGTCCTGTGGATTGATGACCATGTAAATGTGTGTCGTCAGCATAACAATAGTAGCGAAGGCTATGAGTATGCTACGGTTGTTAGGAGAGCGACTCGTAGCCTTTGGGCTGTTCGTAAACCTCGTTAAACAAGTAAAGAATTAAATTAAGTACAGCACAGTGTACCTGGTACAAATACAACAACAACAACTACTAGAGACTACTTTACCTGGCCTCGTTCCCGCCATACTCGGACTTCCGTACAGACCGCCTGGCCATTCCGCGTAGGAAAATATTTGGTACTTGCGGATTTCAGCATTCCGGTAGAGTATGACGCTGGAACCCTGGAATAGCATAATAATGTTCCCTGTTTTAGGTCTCCCAACAACATTTGTTATAGCTTTGATTACTATTTTTCACGTTTCCCCCCATTATTCTTGCTTAGATATCGTCGTGTTTGCACCATCCAGAGAATCTTGATTACAAAGAAACCAAAATGCTTTGAAAAAATGAAAATGCAAAGCACATATAATTGTCGTGGTTTTTGCCAGATATTACTGATTATTTTAAACATACTTGCATTATGAATTAGAATTAGATCAAATTCGATATTATTAGGCTTTAAAGTGCGTATAGTGTATATTATTACGAGGGCCCTCGAACCCGAAACTTCAGAACATTAACAATATCGAAATTCGAGATCTGACGTACAACCCCGACCTTGAACCCTGAACTCTGACCTTTACGCTGTATCCGTACTTGTGGATATCCGCCGACATCGATGTCACCCCCGGATTTCGGAAATCAAACTTCGGAACTGGATAACCTAGCTTCTCTACCCTGTTTAAGCATAATATACATTCCTGGTTTCTTTACCTATTTTATTTACATATTTCTACTTTTTTCCCAATAATACATGGACACAATCAATTCTTAGTATCTATATCATACATAAAACTTGTATCATTTATTTATAAAAGGTAATTCATTTTCAGATATATCTCAAACAAGAAACGCATTGTATAACAAATAAAACACACAGTTCATCATTTCATGACAAATAAAGATAGTCAAAAAACCTAAAAAAAAAAAAAAAGTAAGATCTAAAAAAAAATCGTAGCAATTTGATTTCTATCAAAAGCCACACTTTCTGGATTTAACCATTAATATTTGACAATTTTTTTAGCAAAAAACAAAACATGTGCCGTTTATGATTCTAAATTCGACAAAGCAGGAGCACTGTTACCATGGCAACATGTAACCTCCAAAGCATGCGTCCACGTGAAGGGGTAGCCCTCGTCGATGCGCAAGGGCAGCAATTTCTTCAATAGGGTCAAGGATTCCGTGGCAAAACTGGGGAGCCGATGCGGTTAGCATGACGGTGTTGGGGCCGATCGCCTGTTAGAGGGAACGAAAAGAACAAAAATATTTAAACAGACCCTTTGAATATATACGATTAATTTGGCAAGAAATGCCCTCTCTGATAATATAATATTTCACAACTCCTTTCCTTACCTTATTGTACAATATATATTTCCTGATCTCTGTCCCACCACATTCCGTTTTAGATATAAATGTAGCGACTGGCCAGGTGAACAAGCTTTGACTTAGTAGCTCAGATGATTGGTGCGACAGTCCCTGTATTGGAGGTTCCAGATTCGAATCCTTGCCTGGCCCTTGCATGTTTTCACCCTAAGGTCGCTATTGTTGATTCAATTTTGCTTATTTTATCATTATTATTAAAAAAAATCTTAAAAACACCGGAAGGTATGGTTGTCTTTTCAATGAATAATCAATGCTATAGTTATGCCAAAAAAAAGTTTCTAATACATAGTAACAGTTGGCAGTGATACATGGATCCTTGAAGGACACGTTATTCCATCTACTCGAACGTCTAAACGTCATACAAGTTGAAAGAGTACATGTCATTTCCGGTTTTTATACGCTTGTTACCTTTTCCATGGCCTTGACGTCTGCTCGGAAGTCGGGACCAATAGGGGTATGGATGACCTTCATACCAAAATATTGCGCTGCCTTGTCAATGGTCGGATGTATTGTTCTAGGCGCTACCTGGTGGAATATTGAATATATTGTGTCAGTGTGTTGTTTTTGGTGTACGTCATTATGATAAAAAAAAATATCTTATAACTATTTTAAACACGATTCGCTTTCATCAATCTGACAGCTATTTCCCAGCAACTGACGTTACTTAGAAATAAATGAGTTCCAATAAATATCGACAGAAAGTGTCGAGAGAAATGGAGTCTTTTTTTTTTCTTTTTTTCCTTTTATCTTTTCTTCTTTTTTTAATTTATTCTTTATTAAATACATATCAAGTCTTTACTATTTCCGGCTCCGTGATGTGCGGAAAAAGTTTTTTTGCTCTGTCTCGGAAGGTCTTGACCGCCATTACATTACTCTCTGTCCCACCGGAAGTCAAGAATCCCAACACGTCATCATCTCCATTTAAAATGGCTGCCGTCATGCTAACAACTTCCGTTTCCATCTTTCTAGGTAAGCAAAATATTTAATCTTTATTTATTTCAACGAACATCGAATCTGATAAAAAAACAAAAAAACTGAAAGAGTCATTGATGCATTTATTCTTATAAAACGTTCCACAGAAAGAAATGTAAGAAACAATAAACCATGTTTGACATATTTTGAAAATGAAACGGATATTGGAACATATCTTTAAAATCATCCATGCGAGGGGTGCAAACTTTTTCATGATTAAACATATACACAGTCCTAATGCGGAATTTTTTAGCTTATTTAATATTTTAAATGAAACACTCGCGAAATTATGATGAAGTATTACATAAGAAAACTGCCTTATACTTCCAACATTTGTCCATTTTTGTGTTAAAGCAATTTAGAGAGAGAAACATGTAAAGGACATGTTAAGAACGATAAAGACAGACGGATATCTAAAATTTTGAATGAAAGAAACGTGGCAAATCAAACCGAAATATGTTTTTGTGTAGCGAGATTTCTCACAAATCAGAGATACTGTATTATATGACAATACCGTGATGCGGTTTTGTTTGTGATTTTTAGCACATGTAGTATTCTACATGTAATCCTCAAATTCAACAAGCAAAAAACAACCATTAAAATAGAAAACAAAATAATGTGAAAACACAATAGATCAAAAGTATCACGCAATTTTGCATAAGTCACTAAGTGGGTAAATAAATATATCAATTAACAACACTTTTGAAATGTAGAAAAATACCCTGCATTAACAACTGTAATGCTAATGTGGTGAAACGGGAGATAATTCTAACACAACGAGGTATTTATTGTCAGGTATCATATTTCTAAATTTAAAAATTCATGTTGTCTCTCATAATTATAGTAACAAATAATGAAAATAAAACATTATTGGATTAAAGAGCGATATCGATCTCGTGCAATCTTGGACTTGGAAAACGAAATGGAATTGAGATCGTTTGCATGTTCCCTCAGAATTGGCAACAAGATACAGTTGAGACCATTCTGGTACTGCCTGTATCGCCTGTATTACGTACCTTTGACCTGGGAATAAAGTTACAGTGTACTTTAAAAACGTTCTGGTACGTGTTACCTTAAAGTTCGGAACAACATGTATATGGGATCGATGTCGTTCGGATTTTAAACAAGACTTTCGAATGTTCACGTGTTATATTATATGGCGTTAAAGACGTTTTGTGGCATTAGACTCAAGAAGGGCCAGTCTAGAGCATATGCGTTTTACCTTAGACTTGGGAACAACATGGGGTTAAGGGCGTTCTCGTGTAAAAACCCGTGATGAAATTCCTTCACGAGAGCGTCGTGGTCCACAGAATGTCCGATCTTCTCTAAGAACAGAATATCAGAATCACTTATTAGTACGAGTACAACATCATTCATGGATTAAAGAGGATTAAGATAAATTATTTTACAAAGGTGAGGTTAGTTTTATGGCCGCGAATCTATCAAAGCTATCATAAGAATGAATAATACTACATAAATTTCTCTAGACGGACTAGACAAGCCATACTTCACTTGTTACCAATAAACAGACCCGATACGTCTTATCATTAACATCTACCGCTACCTACCTACCCCTTTATGTAGACTAGACCTTAAACACTGTACATGTTACATGTAACATTAAGAAGTCAAATACTTCCCATTGTATACAGACAATATATATATACGTATCTAATTTTCTATGTAGACTAGACTAACACTAATGAAATAGATAAAAAAAAAATAACTTCCGCCACTTCTCATATTCAGTTCTCTATGCAAACATCTAGGCACAATTTGTAAGATGGTTGTTTAGCCAATAGGGGGTGGGGTGGGGTGGATTGGAGTTGGGGATTGTAGATTGTATTTTTTTTCATTTTTTTTTCTATTTTTTTTTTTCAATTTTATTTACTTATTTATTTTCAATATAATTTACTTATTTGATTATCAATTTTATTTTTGATTTTTATGATTACTTTTACACATACCGCTACGTGTCTGTTCCTTTATGTAGATTAGATCGAAAAGTTAGATGTATGTACGTTACCACTGAAAAGGTCGAAAGCCTCCCGTTGTAGTTGAAAGTGGTCATCGGAGAGAGTGTAGATGTAGGCGAAGATCTTCCCGTCGTCAGACCGCGTCTCCAAATCCTTCATCTTCTTCATGGTCGACAGCAGTTCGGTGTGCGGTACCCCTGTCACAGATATATACAGACGAATCACTTGTTTTACGTGAAATAAATATGTTTTCGAGTTCTCCAACAAGAAGTTACTCGTACCCCTGTTGCAGTGTTAAATAAAGACAAGAACACAGAGAGCATTCATCGCGATTCCAGTATCTTGGCATAATGTAACGAATCTATAAAACACCACTGTTTCTGGCCCAATTACTTTTGTCTCCTTGAAATTGATCATTTTTTTTTTTTTTTAAAGCTGATTATTTTGCCGTCAGACTATCATTGATGGTCCATGGTAACGTGACGTATATAGGCCTAATTGGTTTCCAAATACAATCGCATGCCAGGCATTTGCGAAGCATTTTATGAAACCTAATGGTGGCCGGTTGGGGCAAAATTACAAATCTCGTAATCTTGCTCCCTCGACCTAAAGCTGACAAAGCGAAAATAGACGGTGACACGCGAGAACGCAAAAACACGACTTGGAGAGCGAACAGCGGTATCCAAATACACTAATACGATAAAATGTATCGTTAAAAAGGATATATATATATATACGCATAGTGTACATTCCCAACATTTACAAACAATGGTTTCTCCCTCTAAATCCGTATACGTATATTTATACGTATCCGCTATCGTATACCTCTTATTGTAAGTTACCCTACCAGTAAACAACGTAATAAATATAACAATCAAAAATTAAAAGTCGAAATTAGCATAAAGTGAATACGGAGTTTACAACTGTTGAGCGAAAGCTTGACTGGGCGGGAAAAAAATCCGGCTTACAGTACTTAACCAACGACACGCGATATTCTAAATGTTTTCTTTAAAATTACGTGAACCAACCCTTCATGATCAATTTCTGTAGTTCATGATAAAATGATGTGTTAAATTTATATACTAATATCAAAGGATATTATACAATAATCAATTATTTATCCTCAACCAACAAATTTAATCAATGTTAGCTTTTCCACAAGCAAATAAACATTTTAATGCCATATTTAAAGCTAACTAAGCTTAACAATATGTAATCCACGTGTTCCTTTTATCAGAAATATGCACCAGATAACCTGCTCACCTTTCTGTGGTAGACGTACTCTCGATCCTGTCTTCGACGTCTTTTTGGCTTCGTTGAGTTTCGTCGTGCTAAGGAAACTTTTGACCTCATTCTGCAGAATTTTACCAATAATAAAGTCAACACCGGGCAGCTGTTTCAATGTTACAACTAGAACCCGGAAGAACTCCTTTGGTCCCTTCCGGAAGTAGATACTAAGCAAGACAGCAACGACTGCAGTGAATACGCCATGTTCAATGTAATCCAAAAAAGACATGATGGAACCGGAAGTTGATAATAATCCGAGTATGCACTTCCGGTAGTTGTTGTTGTTTGCAGCAGAGCGGGGAGGATGGAGCTCGATGAACCTACCTCCCTAGTACTTATGTATAAAGCGAGTAGGCGACATGTGTGTACCTGTGTTTATCGAGTTACATATCCGGACGGTGTAAAGGTGGTTATTTATCTATCGTTATGTCGGCCTCGCCATGTATTATCTCGTACGCTTCTTGTCATTGATATGAATAAAATTACGAATGTCATACTCCCATAGATAGTATAATACAATATAACCTGTCTATCCCGAACCTTGTATAATATAAACACGTAAGTCAACCTGTAAAGGTAAGACGTTTCCTCTCCGGCTTCATACAAAATATATATCTATTAGACACATCGTCTTACTCGACTAACTTGCTTCGTACAGGCCCATCTGAAACACATTGGCCATTTATTCTATTGTTATTTATGGATGAAAAGCTCGAGGTTTTCCGTATTCTTTTCCTAGATTTGTGTCAACTGAACCTTCGAACGAACATATTAATCTCTTTGGAATCCTGCTTAGACTTATGTAGATTTAAAATTCAGAGATAATATGGGGAAAATATAGTTTTCTTTTCCCCGTCAGCACAGTACGTGTCATTAAGAATCCTATTACGGTTGACATGGCAGTAATTTCTCGGTCGAACTGTCCTATATCTATGTGGAGTACTAGAATAGAAAAATCCATTGAGTTGAATTTCAAAAAAGTGACAATACAAATGAAACCTATTCTTCTCGTTCTTATGAGGATCTACACTGTACATTATTTATTTATTTTTTATTTATTTCTTTTATTTTTTTTTGTAACTTAGATTTTCATTCAGATTTTTCAAACACATACGCATGACAAATAATGAGATACAAGTCTGTAAATTATGACAGGAAAAGATGGGTAATTGTACAGAACACTTATCTCACAGATTTCATACTACTCTACTCATTACATGTCATACATATAAACTTATTACACAGCCTTTGCTTGACTGACATTCATCATTAAACCATACATCCATTTTGCCTGTACCCATTCGTACATACAAAATACTTATGGCCATGCGATGTGCTTTTATGTACATTATTATACATTTATTACTTGAGAAGTTGGACGGGCAACAATAAGTTGAAGGAAAGATGAAAAAATTGCCTAGGCATAGGCTTAGCAGGGATTTGACAATTTGCCCTGTGTATGACCTGGAGAAACAAGAAAATGCAGAACAGTTGAATATGTAAAAAAGGACAACGATATAAATTATAGTGCAAAGCAAAACGATAGAGAATAAAATTGGAAGATGAGCTGCAAGTAGACACAACATTAAAGTAGTTTACAGCATCAGAAGTGAATTAACGAATATATAATCCAGTCCGGCCGGATATGTAAGTGAAAGCAAGCAAGAACAGGTAACAAAAAAAAAATGTGAAGAACACTTTAACGAAATCCTCAATCAAAAATATACCCACGTTACTCATTCATAAGTTAAAACTAACCAGCTTTCCGCTAAAAAAGCGAAATTCATATAGGTAAGGGTTTTACACACATCCTCATCTAAACCAATTTGAATTTCAACATTTTTAAAAGGTTTTTGCGTCTAACATCACCGATAAATCATAGGACAAAACAGTTCATTTATCCGGGCACAATAAATGACTTGTCCATTATTTCCTGTATCGTTTGCAACCAACGGAATTCCGTCTTTTCGTATTGCAGTTATCTGCTCTTGTGAGCAGGTTTTGATTGTTACGTCATTTGTTTGTGAGAGTAACGTCATACATTTTTCGAGAAAACGACGTAACTTTCTCACACTAACTAATGACGTAACAATCAATACCTGCTCATAGGGGCAGATAACTTTGCAATACAAAAAGACGGAATTGTTGCGAGAGACGTCATGACGGGTGTTACAGTGTACGTTTCGAATCAATTGTGCTAAACGTTCCAAAACACCTGATTTCGTATCCATTGATTGGAGAAGTGTTTACTTTTGTTGTGGTGTCTCCTAATTTGTGTTGAGGCCTTTTTTTATTTATCAACAACGCTCTCTGATTCTGTTCTTGTATTATGGTGCTGTCTGGAGGAGAGATCTCGGTCTAAAATTACATGTACTCTCGCCATGAAATTGCAAGAACCATCTAATGGAAGTTTCGTGTAAAATACTGTTGTTGCTATGAGATTGTCAGGCCAAATCAGCGCAATTTTCATTTACCATCGTTATGAAACTGCCAGACTGCTCCGACGAAAGTTCCGAGTACCTTCGCCGTGAAATTGCCGGATCACCCTGACTAAGGTTTTATGTACCTTCGCCATGAGTTCTACAGACAAGTCAACGAAACTTTCGTATACGTTCGCCATAAAATTGACAGATCACTCAGACGAAAGTTATATCAACTTTTGTTATGAAATTAGCAGAAAACTCTTTATAAAAGAAAAATGGACACAAGTATAAAATCTTCATTTATTGAGCAAACCATTACGTTATCATTTGAATCATTTGTGTTTGCATTTTTTTTTATTACAACTTGATAAAAACAATAGCTTACAATTCCTTAAAATCTATGTTTCCTCTCGGGCTCCGTTCATGCTTACTTTACACACTTTTTTGCTTAACTTATATTAATTATTTTTTAACTTACACCAACTATAAACGTATGCTTAAAACCCGATTGGTTTACAGACATTTAGAATAGAGACAACCAGAAATACACGTGATAGGTTCCATTTAATACACGTGATAGGTTCCATGTGAGGTTATATTAATAAACCGGACATTATACAGAAAAGATGTGGAAAATGAAACAAAGAATTAAATAGCATGCAGAAATACATTTAAAAACATTTTTAAAAGCATTATTAGCTGTCCATACAGATGTAGGTTCTCTGTAGTAAACCAAGTTTACAACCATCCCCAAAGAACCTACAAATGATTTAGTTTTCTACGGCAAGTTTCCGAATGAACTTTCGTGTCCATTCGCGGTAAGCTTGACAGATCACTCCAATGAAAGTTACATCTTATATATGGCCACGAGAATGACAGAAAAAGAAAAGTGCATCTTATTAAACCAGGTTGTGCATGAAACATAAAATGGACACAAATATGTTATTTTCATTTATTGAGCAAAATATTATGTAATCATTTGGATCATTGTTTGTCTGCATAGATAAAATTGGTGTCCATATAATAGATAATCTTGAGAAATAGAGCAAGGGTGAGTTTGCCACGAGACAGGCTCAAGTCATCCTGGAAATCCAAAGGGCTACTCTCTCTTACGTTCTCAACACTCCTGGAATATGACAACAGAATCGCGCTGCACTATAACGGTTAAATTGACCAGTTTTGAAGTTGTGTATCTCTCTTCGGCGATCTTCAAAAGGACAGGTATATCAGCATAGCGATTGTTCATTGATTTTTTTAACCTAAAGCTAATCGCTAATATGACCGCGTGCATTCGATTTTGTCATTAGATATTCCAAGGGTGCAAATAACGTTAATGAGCATTACCCCTTTGATTTCGAGGATGGACCCAAGCATCCCTGTACAATAATATGAAAGCTAGGTCTGTTTATAGAATACTTTCTTCAACCCTTTCACCACTGTAGACCATAATGGACTAATCCAGGTCAATGCATGGGAGAGTCTACTAAAATTACAAAGGGGTGAAAGGGTTAATCACAGACACTCAGAACACACCTTATCTCTCCTTACCTTATTGAAAAAATAACTACATAATTAACAGTACATAAAATTGATAAATATACAGAAAAGAGTGCCACTAAATCATTTAAATTAATTACTATGAAGATCATTTTCAAATTACGATTTTGAATTACACCTTGTTAAAAACAATACATTGTAATTCCTTGATATAAATGTTCCCTTTTAGCCTCCGTTTACACTTCCTTTACACACGTCGTTCCCTTACTACTTTTTCATTCTTAAGTAGTATTAAGTATACATTTACAAAATATTGTCTTAACAAAGGGACATGTAAGCTTGATATGATAAGTCTTTGGTAAATACACCCGTCAACAAATGTAATTAACAACTTAAACATTTGATTACAACCTCATTGACCTTTTTCTCTGTAGCCTTTCTGATGTTTAAAAACCTATAGAATGGGACCTGATAACATTTCTTATGGTTCCAGCTAAGTAAATGACAAAATATTTCGCAGGAATGACATTGAAGCAATTTTAGAATTTTCTACAATAAAACAAATTAATTTCTAACAAGTGAGGACTTACAATTTCAGTTATAAACAGAAAGCATGTTTATATCGAAAAAAATAGACTGAAGAATTTTATTTCTCAATTATAAGTTTATAACAACCACTGTGCACGTGGAAATTCAGTTCTCTATAGTGTATACACATTCAGTTCTGGGTAGTTAAACAAGTTGATAACGAACCCCTGTGACCCAGATTTTTCCTCTCAGCAGAAGACTTGTTAAAAACGACCAACCAGGACCAAAACTGTCAGTTCTAGCAGAAAATATGATTATTACAAACCGCAGGGTACATTATAGTTAGGGGCTAAAAAGTAAAACATGTCTATCGAAATACAAGGGACCAATAAAATATATTTTCCACAGTAAAAACATATTTAAAATGAACCACAAAGACCTAAGAATTCAGATTTAAAACTGTTTTTGCAACAACAACAAATATTACCAGGTTGACAAATTTTATGAGATGTTGAAGAGTGACACTGCATAAGCCTTTATTTGATATTTCAACTGTCTTACACCTAAAAATGTTCTTGGCAGAATCATACAAACCTACAATCAAGACAAGACAAGCCCTTCAAGTGTACTATGGTGTCTATTAACTAATATTTCTATTTAAACATCTTTTTAAAAAAATGATTCTTGACTAGAACATCAATAATTTTCATATCAACCACACCTTGTATAAAAAGATAATATACAAAGACATATGGAAAAAAAGACATCAATAAATTCTAGATATCAAATCCATTTTAATGATGATTAGATAAAATATATATTAATGTTAATTTGGAAAAAAAAAATCTTTTGTATATCAATAAAAAAAATAAACGTTGCCATTTTGACTATTATATGTATCACAAATTTAATACTTACCTTTTCCAAAACAGAACGTTTCCTCCATTTTTACTTTTGTACTAATTTATTAAAGGAGTTATATTTCATCAGATCTGCAGGCAGATTAGCCAAAGTCATCCTGAATCTACATGGATGATTTTTTATTACAAATTTACCCTTTCACCACTGTAGACCTTATTGGACTCATCCAGATCAATGCATGGTAGAGTCTACGAAAGTTACATAGAGAAGAAAGGGTTAAAACTGCTCTGATGTAAACTGGGCAAATGATCATTCATCCTTCTACATTCCTGAGGTTTCCATAATGCATTATTGTTATAAAGATTGAGCTAATAATGTTTGTATTGTGCACTGGGTCTAAATCAAATGATATCTTTAACTGGAAACCTGTTAAACCAGACCTTCTACTACTGTAAAGCATTCTATTTTTGTTTGTAAATTAAAATCACCTTTCTTTAAATCTTTCAGAAAAATAATGCCCTATGAAAATTTTTACCCTGTTTATTTTAAGTTTTACATATTAATCCAACATTCAAAGGGCATTTTTTTTTCAGAACATATTCTGCATGTTGGTAATTATTTAGTGTAGAAAGGTTCATCTAGTAAAAATAATTTGTGTGATGAAGGTGATATACTATGTACCATATAAGTCGTTGAAAGGTCACACAAAAACGCTTCACTGGTTGTGCTACATGAACATTTCGACACTAAGGGCAAAATTATATCTGGAACAAGTTTTTCTGTTATGAAGTTACTTCTGTTCTATTACATTTATATGTAAAACTCTGAGCGATAAAAAATACCTGTCAATTCTGACCTCAGATATTGCTCTCGGTTGCGATCAGTTTAGTCAAGGTTCCCAGTAGTATGATATAAAATCACAGTTAATAAATTCGCATACAGTTTTCGAATATTTGTGTGAGATCTTCCTCAGTCTGTGGTCGTGGAGCCAACTTGATCACTCTGTGCTGTAAAACAAAACAAAACAAATTTACAGGTTTCAAAATTGACCTCTGTAACATTGAAAGAAGGTAAAGGTCACTAATTTAAACGAATCTAATAGTACTTAATAACAGCATGCTATTAGTCAATTATTATCCTCCAAGGCCTCTAGATTATTCAGAAGAAGATATATAGTGGTCAAGGAAATTGACCTGAACACACATGTCAGCCCTTATATCCCAACATGCATCACACAAAATATTATGGCTGTAGGTCTCTTGGTTACTTAGAAGAAGTTGTATAGATGTATTAACACATTTGACACCTGACAAGTCTTCTGACACCCCCACACCTGACCATGGAAGTGGGTCAAGGTCATCTCTATGAACAAAACAATTCTGAAGTTCAACTCTTCTTCTTATAACTTACGCAGTAAGCATGTTAAAAAGAGTCGTGTATTAGGGCACTGTTATTGTTAGAGTTACAATGTATACTACTGGCAGTAGTGTTTACCTGGGGTAGTGTGCCTTTTACAAGAGCTGGGATGTCATCCTTGGTATATCCAAGTTCTATCAGACCATCTGGGACATCAATATCTTGCATGATTTGACGAAGTTTGTCACCAAGAACCTGACCAGCGTCTGCATTCTTCTTGTTAGTGATGTCCACGCCTGTATTTATAAATTAATTGAACATTTCGTTTTATTCAAACAAATCATAGCAAAAAAAATAATTTCAATAGATTTTGACATTACAGTTTGAATAATTCTTTTCATAATAGTTTTAGTGTTGAAAAAAAATACTGTATATCGGGAAATTTTCTCCAAGTCAAATATTCGCCTGTCAGCAGTAAAATCCATGTTTGCCCAGGGTTCTTTTCGCCCTTCACATGTTATTTATATACAGGGTATGTTGTATACTAAAATTGGCTTCCATGTTAAATTTGCCCTCATTTTGTAGGGCGAAAAATGTTTAAGTTAATCTACGGCAAAAGAATTCTGGTATACAATAGCTCCTGTTTTCTATTGTGTCAAGCGTATCTGGCTAAATTTCTCCAGATGTGTTATTTTGTTAGAATACTCAATAATCATATCATCATATTGTAGTTGCACCAAATGAATTGAAATCCCTACAAGGTGACCTTTACTTGTAATAAAGGAACAAACGTGAACCGGTACTTGTAAAATATGAACTTACAAAATTAAGTCCTTGCAAAAATAAGTACATGTTTTCTTGCAAAAGTGAGTTCTCCCAAAAAATAATTATGCACTCATGAAATCAGAAAATTTTACTCACAAAAAAGGCCAGTGTAGTAGCATAAATAAATGCTTACAAATCTTTTACTAGAAAATAAAAGTTCTTGCAAAATGAACCAAATGGTATATATTATTTCAAAAACCTAGCGATTTTAAAACGACATGGTTGAATTAATATCCCTGGCTTGGAGAGCCATTCAAAGTAAGGAAGTGTCTGTGACCTACTAAAGCATCAATACATCAGCCTTACACTCTTGGTTTACAACTATACATGATCATGAGGCTTGCAGACACTAACCTAGGAATTTTGCTGCCTCCAGATGGCGCTCTGGACATGCAGGAGCCATGAACTCGAACACAGCTGGTGCCGATATCACCACGGACAGTCCATGGGGCTGTAGGTATGAATGAAAACATAAAAGACTTAGAAGCAGTAAATTGACATAAATACCCGAGCCAGTTTCATGTATCGCATTTTCAACAGTTTGAATGGTTGGACAAATTAGGAATGAACTTTATATTTTCAGGAAAGCCTTGGCCAATAATTTCAAATCGTGAATTAACCGGACGGTTAGGCTTTAACTCTCAAACTGATCAATTATAAGCAGATGAACAGGTTGTTCTTCATAATTGAAAATACCTTCATAATACAAAAATTAAACTTTATAAAGATTATGATCAAAAAAATTAAACATAGGTATGACTCGGATCAAACAAATCAAACATGGGAAGAACTAATTAGATCCTTAGAGGAGACCATTCATTTTGTTTTTCTTACAAATAACGCAAACTACGCCCCAGTTATCATGATCACTGGCGGACAAGTGGTGCTGGAAACACAATTGGAAAGAAAGAATAAATGAGATACGAGAAAGAAATCCCAGTATCACAATTCATGGTGAAGAGGACAAATTTTAGTTTCCACAATGTTCTCCATAAGAAGACACAGCAGAGAACCTGGATGCTTCAAAAGGCCAGAATCAGTATTCTCAAAGAGGTAGTTTTACTTACTACAAGAGCAATGTCCTGGTCATATCCTTTAGAGACAAAATCTTTGACCAGTCCAGAAATAGGGTATGACATGCCATGGCTAAAAGAAAAGTATTGAAACTGTGCTATATTTATCAATTATGGACTTTTGCTGAGGTGAATACCTGGTTATATTAACCTGAGAACATGATATTGACCGAGACAAAGTCGAGGTAATTTAAGCTTTTCAGGTCAATAAAACCACATATTCACTGAAATAAAACATCACAAGTTTCCTAGTTGGTTTGAAAATATGCTGTTCTTTATACTAAAGAAGATAAATTTAAGATAATCATAAAGAAAACATTGCTGCATTTGGCAGACAGCATTGTGACATTAAAATTGAAGTGTTATGATGTCATATTATCTCAAAAATAGGTAATAATGGTTTGAGTCCATCACACAATATTTTTTAATCATTTAATCACGAAAATTACCAATAGTTCTCACATGTCAAAGAATTTCAGTGATATTGCCTGTCAATGTAACAGTACCTCATATATAATTCACAATCGTGTAACTGTCCAATCGGAAGTCAATAACTGATCATGTGACATATTGATTATTAATAACAGATTATCTCCCTTTATTAGCACATCTTAAACAGTTTGACAAGCATTTCCTATACATGTATCATGTACATCAATATTTTTTTTATTTTTCTACGAGACAATAAGAAATTATCATATGGCTATATCCTAACCCTTATCTACCCAATTTCCCTATATCAGCCTGAGGGCTTTTATAGGTTGAGGGTTGCCCGAATGCAGGCAGGTTATGGAAAGAGTCATATCATAACCTTTTAAACATAACATGCACACTTAAATTTATTAATAATATCAGTTCTTAAGAGTAATGCATAAAAACATGCCAAACTTCATCAACTTGTCTGGTGGTGAATCTGGGCAGGGGATACGTGGTTTGGAATCATTTGTGTTACAAATAGAATGGAATTGACATGCGCAGGGAGGATACAGCAAATGCCATGCAGAAACAGATTGGGCAGAGATAAAGATGATGCACCGCTATTGTATATTAATGCATATATCGCAGACAAAAATACATTGTACGTTAAAGAAAATTAATTCTGATTTTTCAAATTTAATGCACAACACACATTTAACCTTTACATCAATTGAAATGTATTTAGATTTTACAATGATTAGGTAGATAAACATTGACAAGATACATTGTTGTATTTGATCAGTGTAGCTCTGATGATCTACAAGCTTTTCCTACATACAAATGTAGAAGCATATTAGCTTGAAAGCTGATAATTATTCATTTACTTCTATTTCAGCAGTTTCTCAAACATCTAAAATGGGGGAGAGATATTTCTAAAAAGCTAAAATCTCTTGGGAGCAGGTATTGATTGTTACGTCATAAGTTTGTGTGAGAAAATTACGTCGTTTTCTCAAAAATTGATGACGTTACTCTCACAAACAAGTGACTGACAATCAATACCTGCTCCCAAGAGAAGATAACTCTGCAATACGAAAAGACGGAATATACTTTATTTCAATAATAATTATAAATAATTTGAGGTTCTTATATATACCACTTTATCGCAACCTAGGTAGTCTCAAAGTGGTTCACAAATTATTATCCGTGGATATTGGACCTATGCAACCAGCCAATATCTTTCTCAACTCCCTGGGGATCGTACAGCCGGTGCTGCCATTTAAGCACTCACAACTGACATTCTACAATTCCAGCACTGCCCAACCACGTACTCATTTACAGCTGAGTAGACTGAAACAAGCGGAGTAAAGTATCTTGTTCAAGGACACCACACAGTACCATGATGGGATTCAATTCTCAACCCTTCGGTCATGCGCCTAGCTACCACTAGACTACCGTGCCTCCAAAGAGTATGTACTTAATCGATAAAACTTTTTAAAATAATAGAGTGATATAATTTATACGAAAATACTATTTCTAATATTTTTAACGTATACTATTCCTACCAGAGGTGACACCCAGCGTTGCCGAAACCAATACCAGCATATGTGCTCGCTAAATGCATGGAACTACGAGCCTCCATATCATCGGGGTTGTCCGTAGCTCTAAATAAACACACACAATGAAAATACACACAATATTATAAGCTCTAAAAATAGACATAGGGAATCCCCCCTGGATGTTCATGCTTGTGAATCTCTTTGTCATCTTCGTTTGTTCATAGCTGAGCTTTAAATATATGCAGATAAAGAAAGATTTTTGATATCAATTAAAAGCTCTAAATCTACAATTACCCGGTAGAGGAAACCCCTACATGCTTCAGGCCATTTTCTCTGCAGTGCTATAAATACTCAGCAAAATCAAACATGCTATTACTGGTAGGGTTGTCAAAGCCGTCAAATTTTAGTAATTGGTAACTCAAAAAATCTTCCAAACGAACAATCACAGATAATTGGTAGGTCTAACCCGAGACAATATTTGGCAATCTTTAAGGCAAATCAATATTTGACTATTTGGTTGTTGAATTCTGCATTCAGTTTTTATGGTTTCCCTGACCTAGTGACTGGTTAACTTGCCGACCGTTGACAACTCTGCCAGTAATTACATGTAGTTCTTAAATTAGTAACAGGCAAAACACCTAGTTGTTAGCTTCAGGCTCACAGCAGCACAAGATTCTGAAAGCAATGTGAAGCAAAGACATAAATATGAGAAAAATGGTGCCTACATTTATATTAATAGTTTGTATATATGGACCTTCTCCTATACGTTGTAGCTCAATGCTAATAACCCTGTCAAAATGGATGTTTTCAATGTACATTATGAATTTCCTAAAAGGGAGTAAATATTTCCAGAACATTTTTAATCATAATAAATAAAAAGGCTCTTTGAGCTTTAATGTTATTGTATGTAAAATTGTCATTTTAAAACATTTTTTATATTAATAGTTTGTATATGGACCTTCTCCTATACATTGTAGCTGAATACTAATAATCCTGTCAAAATGGAAGTTTTCAATGTACATTTCGATTTTCCTAAAAGGAAGATAAATATTTCCAGAACATTTTTAATCAAAATAAATAACATGAGGCCCATGGGCCTTAACGGTCACCTGAGTCCTACAGTATTTATTTTTGTTGTTGAAATATGTACCAATTTGAGTAAAAAATAGTTAGAATAATGTTAACTTAACTTTGTCAGGACCATGAGCTGATCATTCCTAGACCGATTTTCAGTGAGATCGGTCTATTAGAACTTGTTTTTAAGTTTGAAATAGGTATTTACAAAATACCGGCCATGGCAGCCAAATTGTATTTCTGATTAACCCGAAAAATAACAACACTTTGTCAGGACCATGAGGCGATCATTCCTACCAACTTTCAGTTCAATCGGTCCAGCAGAACTTGACTTTAAGTTTGAAATAGGTTTTCAAAATGGCGGCCGTGGCGGCCATATTGGATTTCTGATCGACCCGAAAAATAACAACACTTTGTCAGGACCATGAGGCGATCATTCCTGCCAACTTTCAGTTCAATCGGCCCAGCAGAACTTGACTTTAAGTTTGAAATGTAAAATGTTAACGGACGACGGACGACGGTCGACAACGGACGAAAACGGATAGCAATAAGTCACTTGAGCTAAAGCTCAGGTGACCTAAAAAGGCTCTTTGAGCTTTAATGTTATTGTATGTAAAATTGTCATTTTAAGAACGATAATTGGTTTTTTTATTTTGGTGTAATCACAATTAAATTACATGACTTTCTAGCAATAATATTCCTACAAATCTCATTTCTATGGAAAACTATTTCACCAATCGCATTTGTACTAATTACATTTATACAGATCATGAGGATCTCATTTCCAGGTAGGTATGTTGTAAAGTGCCATATAAAAAACAAGCATGAAAAGGAATCTGAAAGGTTGCAAAGCCATAAGGCCAAACAAAATTATGTATTTGCTTAGGGTTCGATCCAGAAAAAAATCAATAGTTAGCATATATTTTTATATATACCGTATATATTTTTTCAGAAAGTTTTTCCATGTGTGTACCTTTATAGAAAACAATTCCTCACATTTTCACTGCTTTCTTGTATAAAAGTGGGCATAAAATCTCTAGACTAGACATCAGTAAAAATAGATAAGACTTGTAGGCAACAGGCTAACTTATATTCCCTGTTTCCATATAAACATTCAGAAAAGGGGCATAACTCCCATTAAAATTGTTAAAATAAAGAGTAAATGGGTACAGCTCAACTACTGTAGAATCATTTATTTTCGTGGGGTTAAAATTTTCGTGGTTTTCATATTCAAGTCTGTTTTAAGAACATTATATTTCGCTGATTTCTGATTTTCCCCTATCTGTATCATACCAAATTTATGTTATTGTGGGGTTTTAATTTCGTGGATATTTGTTATCCACGAAATAAACGAAAATTAATGTCCCACGAAAATTTATGATTTTACAGTATATAAGATACTGTTCATGTGCACCAAGTTACTGATTGCATAGATAAATAGAAGTAACTTGGACAAAATTTATCAACTGAAATCAGAAAAAGGGCACAACTCCCACACAAGCAAACAACAACCTAAGTGACATGTTATATGTGCCAAGTAAAAAAACAATGCTTGAGAAAGTCAGAAGCAAAGTGTCTGACATATTTTGCATAGACAGACACGCTTATTCCACTATAACCCAGTAACCTTGTTTGTTTAATAAACTATCTACCTCTCTGCCCACAGACAGACACACCTATTCCAGTATACCCTAGACTGGCCACCAGCCCCTTAGTTTTTATGAAGAAGTTCTCCACTGCATTTTATTACTAGTTTATCTCCCCCTAGTTTAGATTTTAGGAATCAGACATCCAAGTGATCAAAATTATTAGAGTTAAATTTTTTTCTTAATTATTTAATATTCTAGAGACGGTGACCAGTCTACAGTATACCCCTATACGTTTGTTTGCATAATAAACTATCTTCCTCTCTGCCCACAGACAGACAAGCTTATTCCAGTATACCCTAGTTACTTTGTTTGCATAATAAACTATCTAAATCTCTGCCCACAGACAGACAAGCTTATTCCAGTATACCCTAGTTACTTTGTTTGCATAATAATCTATCTACCTCTCTGCCCACAGACAGACACGCTTATTCCAGTATACCCCAGCTTAAATGTTTGCATAATAAACTATCAATCTATAAGCAGCTAAAGGTTAAACCCAAAACAGACATATTATTTAATTTGCCCTGAATCTTGGAGTTCGTAAGGACGTGAAATGTACTGGGTATTTAGGTCAAAGTGCCCTTCACCTCAGGTCAAAGGTCATCACCTCAGGTCAAAGGTCAAAAAGCTTTTTAAGTTAAATTCAATTAATGCTTTTAATATCATAAACTTAAATAATTTCCTTTTTTTCCTCAAAATTATTCAAGATTTCATAAAAATTCCAAAAATAATAAAACATATGTAAATCCACTAAATACCTTATAAATGTTTAAATATGTGTATAAAACTTATCCCTTTATGTAAAACCAATATCAATATCCAAAAGGAATGTTTTAAAATAAATGTTATTTGTCCTTGGTAGCTGTCCTCAACATTAAAATTGAGTTTTCTCCCTGAAAAAGGTCAGCATTTCATTTCATTTTTGTAGTTTATTTTTATTTTTAGTTTGTTATTTATGTAGAACTTTCAATAAACTTTTAACTCATTCACCCCTGAAGCCACATTTGAGCTCTTCCAATTCAAAGGTTGGAATAGTTATTTATGAAATTTCATGAGTGAATGAGTTACATGTAAATAATAATAATATTGACTACTACTGTTTCCCCTCAGTGTCTTAAGATAACTTTCTTACCTTTTATTAAACAGAAACAATATAAATAAAAACAAATTCAAAGCCGTTTAACAAAGTTAGAGAAGACAATGAAATACTGATTCAACTCTCTGTAAAAGAATGGACTAATACTTGTTAGAATATTTAAGGATCCCTGTCCCACGTACCAGCTGGTACTGCACTAGTTTTTCCTACATGCAGTTATCTCCCTGAACACTGTTGCTGAATACGAATACATTTTGTTTATTTCATCTGTCTTACTTCTCATGCAAGCCCCACAAGGTAAGGTTTTCTTTTCAGAAATAATCTATTAACCCTTTCACCTCTATCAACCATAATGGACACATCCAGATCAATGAATGGTAGAGTCCACTTAAGTCACATAGGGATGAAAGGATTAATGCTACAGTCGTGCCAAAAAAAAAGTTTCCAATAATTAGTTACAGATTATAATAGTGGTATAGGGATCCTTAAGAAATAACAGCAGGTATTTTTAATAGCTCTCGTTAGAAAAAACAAAAACAGCATTAGTCCTAAAATAGTAATAGTATATTAAGCACAAACCATTCACAGATCTTACAGACATACCACAAATGCACTCCAGCATTCCCGAAGCCGATGCCAGCGTACGTGGAGGCTAACCCCATCGTAGATCTAGCCTCAGTATCTCCTTTGTCGTATACAGCTCTTAAATCATTTGTCAAAATTAATTTGCATATCAAAATTGAAAGTTGATTTGAAAACAGGAACAGAAAGTTATCCATAGCAAAGAATTTATTACTGAAAATTGCACACATTTCAAATTAATTTAAATGTTAAAAGTTAAGGTCCATTTAAAAACAGGAACAAATGTTATTATAGAGAATCTTTTACTTAAAATGATGTTTAAATTGCACCCATATTATACGTATACAAAAGATTCATAAGTACTAATATGTGAAGCTTAATCTTTAATCAAAATATTTACAAGAAAAAGAACCATTTACAGATTATTAGAGATGAGAACAAAATCTCAATATTTCCCCTTACAGAAACATTTTTAGAATTAATTATCATGTTGTCTTGGTGACAGACACGTTGCCACGGTGACAAACATATTGTCATGGTGAAAGGACTGACCTTTTTAGGTACTTTTTGGTCATTCTGAGGGCGTGAGCTGACCAGATGTCGCTGACTGGGTTACAGCCCTGGTACGCTGGACGTAGCATTGGGTTTTCTGGACGTGGAATGCGCTCGTCATAGGGAACAGCGGTGTAGGATTCAATAGCATGGCTGAAACAAAAAACAATATTTTATTGATGATACTTGATGCTTATGGGTGTCTGAAAACATTTCTTGTTGCATTTGTTTCATTTTTTCATAAAAGTCTTTCTTGCAAGGTATGATTTTCATTCAGAAATGATTTACTAGTAAAGCAGTTGTCAATGCCGAAAAAAACCAGGTTTCAAATGCATAATTCAGTGGTACAGGGATCCTTAAATGTTTGAATGAGAAATCAATATTGTCGCTGTTATTTGTAGAAAATAAACAAAATTACTGTACCAAAGTACATCTATTCCACTGTAGGCCGCTACCCTCTCTGGCATGGTGATAAGGTGCAGGGGGTCCACAATTCCAAGGGTGGGGCGCAAGGCACGGTTGGAAATACCTGTACGGAGAGACCAAATTTAATATCAAACCAATCAAGACATAGACAGACCAAAATTCAAACAAAACAAAGATGCATAGGTCAAATCAAATAAAGTGTGACAAAGAAAGGTCAAAGTTCAAATAAATCAGAGACATAGAAAAGTTAAAGTTCAAATAAATGAGACCCGGGCTCACATTAATGAAACCGTTCTTATGATCAAGCATGGATTCTGTGCTCAAACCAATTTCTTGCAACTTGCCTAAAGCATGTGACATGGCCAAAAGATCAAGTGTAATTATTGAAATTGGTATTCAGCTTTTAGTCGCTCTAAAATTCTCTGAAATCATTGAGAAAATGTGTAATTTTATCAATTCATCACCAGAACAAGATATTGGGTTTGAGCACAGAATCTGAGTCTGAGCATGAACACTGTTTCATGAAAACAAGGAAAAGTGATTCACATGAACAAAGGTGAAAACTCACATATTACAGAAATGGAAAGGACAATTTTCATAAAAAAACCAGATGATTACAGAGTTTAAATATCAGATATGATTATTTAACACACAAGAATTTCCTTGCTATTGATTATTTTTTAGTCTGAATAACATGGAGATTTGTGTTTGTGTTTTTGAACCACAGACTTTCCTAGTACTGTAACAGTACTGATCTTCATGGCACCATGAACTGCAAAATTAAGTACATACTGATATTCATTGCACCATGAACTGCAAAAATAAGTACTGATATTCACGGCACCATGAACTGTAAACATTTAGTAATTACTGATATTCACGGCACCATGAACTGCAAAAAATACCAATGTAAACACACAGCACAAGTTCTATGTTGCACTGTATTGTTGATATAACACAACTTTAACCTACCTGTTTTGGCTTTCATGGGAAGGTAATCAAACACTGCAGTTCCTGTTGTCTCACTGCCTGTGCCTGCTGTAGTTGTAACTATATCATACAAAAATACAATAGTACATATATAAAGGACTACAAGAGCAATGGTTACCCAACAGCAGGCTACAATCAAACAATTATGACTCTTTATCTCATTCACCCCTGAAGACACATTTGAGCTCTTCCAATTCAAAGGTTGGAATAGTTTATCATGAAACTTCAGGGTTGAAAGTGTTAACAGGCTTCTTTGGAGGTTTTCTCTTCCCTTTATTCATGAAATTATATAATATGCAAATAGGAGATTCCAGAGGGATCTCGGCACAAACCAGCGAACAATCTTCATTTCGGTTCTTTGTAAGATTGTTCTTTTCTCATCTTTTCTCGTCAAAAGTTGATGGTGACCTCATATTAGATTGTTTCCCTGATGTCATACAAATATTTCTTTCTGTATGCAATCTGTCATACCCTTATCCTAAACAAGTAAAAAGGGGAGACAACTCAGTCAAAGTTAGGAGAAACGGTAACCCTTTCACCCCTAAGTAACTTTAGTAGACTCTACCATACGTTTATCTGAGTCCATTGTGGTCTACAGTGGTGAAAGGGTTAATGGCAGTCAATGATACCATTTTGACTGCTATCAATAGTTGATTGGTTAACATACCTGCAATAAGAGGCTTAAGCTGGTGTGTGACAGGGAGTCCCTTCCCTATGGGAGCGTTGACGTAGTCCAGGAGCTCCGACTGAGGATTTGAGGAGTAGAGATTGGCTGCCTTACAAGTGTCCATTACTGATCCACCACCAATGGCCAAGAACACGTCAAACTTGTGTTGGTTAGAAAAATCTACAGCTGCCTTAAAACTGCAGAGACAAGAAAACTTGTACTTTAATACAATATTGAACTGAGAAAACAAATTCAAGAATATTCACTCTAGTATTTGACTTTTAAACATGATATGAATGTTTATATAAAGTAAAATCATTGTGAAATTTTAATGGTAGACATTGGTTAAATAGGATTACTATTTTGGTGTTAAATCTAATAACTTTATTTTCAAAAAAGTCCATTTCTTGGGTAAAGGTATCAAAATAATTATTGAACTTCACAAAAAAAACACAAAAAAACCACAACACTTTCTTGTGCTTTTTGAAAATCAGGTTCACAGAAAACAAAAAACAACAAGAGGCCCAGAGGGCCTGTATCGCTCACCTGAATATGTTTTAAATAATTGGTATGAAGTAAAGGTATAGCACTCCATGGTAGGTGCTGTAAGTACATATGAAATTTCAGAAAGATCCATCCAGTACTCGAGATATAGCGAGAACAATCTTCAAACAGAGTCCCACCCCTATGCCCCTAGGGGGGTCATACCCACCAATTATACAAAATTGAGACCCCTTGGTCCAAGGATGCTCCCGACTAAATATGGAAAAAATCCCTTAATCTCGATGGTCGAAGAAGGAATTAAAAGGTTTTACCTCTATTTCTCCTATTGGCTCCCGCCCTTCTGCCCCCTGGGAGACCACACCCACTGCATATACAAAATTGAGTCCCCTTGGCCCAAGGATGCTCCAGACTAAATTAGGATAAAATCCTTTAATCCCTACAGTAGAAGAAGGATTTTCAAGATATTTTACCCCTATTTCCCCTATTGGGCCCCGCCCCTCTGCCCCCAGGGGGGCCACACCCACCATTTATACAAAATTGAGTCCCCTTGGCCTAAGAATACTCTAGACCAAATTAAGTCAAAATCTACTTGACCGTTCAGGACAAGTAGCGTTTTAAAGGAAAAGTTGACGTACAGACAACGGACGCTGCGGTATGGCATAAGCTCACCATGGTCCTTCGGACCAGGTGAGCTAAAAAATTGTCCTGTTTTATTCATAATCGCCCTAAGAATCCCTGTCGGAACCACTGCAAGCAAAATGATAGAGAACTCCTCTGAAGGTTTTGGTATATACAGTAACCTCCAACTAATTTCATTTTGGATATAACTGTAGCTTAATTAGGGAAGGGCACTTCCGTTGACCAGATAGCTCAGTTGCTTAGAGTGACCGTATAGCAATCTGAGGTCCAGGGTTCGAATCCTCACTCAAACGACACTGTTGATTACACATTGTAGATTATTTATTTCATCACTATTATCTTTTCATAACAGTATCGCAAGGTATGGTTTTCCTTTTAGGAATTATTCATCAAAGCTATACTGACGCCAGAAAATACTTTTTCAATGCGCTTTGGCAGTGGTACAAGGATCCTTAATTTCGTGAAATACTGTATGTCTGTTAAGGAAAGGTTAACGTTATGTCTTACTACTGAAAATCCCACATTGAACCAACCAATCAGTGCCCTCCGTACCTTTCATCTGTGGGTTCCACTCTGCATCTATCATACAGTTTATATGGGACGTTGTGTCGCTCCAGTGACTCCAGCGCCACCTGGACAGGGGCAAGGGGACTTAAATACTTGTCTGTCATCACGCACACTAACTTGGCTCCCATATTCTTACAGTCCTGGGGGTCAAAAGGTCAGATTTTAAACAATCAATATTCCATGTTAATGAAATAACTACATGTCATGTATGTTTCATATGACCTTTCAACTGTGACATCAGAGGAGGTCAAATTATATCACAATTAGGCTAATTCATGTAACATGAAGATGACACTGTTGAAAACTTGGCAATGGTCAAAGAAAGCATTCTTTTTACAGGATATTTGTATAAGTTTATGGTTATGTGATGAAAAAGACCTTGAATACTTTTAATTTAGTATGAGATTGATGAAACTGTAACAAACATATGTTGAAGATATCCTTAACTCTTCAAACCCACAATAAAATGAACAAAAAGGCAAGACTCTCTGAGCAAACCTCAACTAAAATTCTATTTTTTTCGAACTTAATATAAAATATTTTTTGATTCAAAGTCATTAAGAATCTTGAATTGTTTCCTCTAAAACTTCACCAATGATAATTCCAACCTCTTCGTTAACACATTTTACTAGTAACACAATGCATAGGGTCAAAGTTCAAAAGTAAATCTGCATGGTTACATAATGACCATGTGGGGACCTGGATACAGTGCTGCAATCTTAATTGTTTTTATTTTGTAAATTTTTCAACAACTTGTTCCTTCATCACTTGGGAAAATATATAGCATTACATCTACTGTAAACACCAAGTTTGTGAGACTGGGATTGATGTTTCTGAGATTGTTCTGTTCAGAATAGGTTATACTGACCATGCCAACTTCTTGAGTGACTCCTGGACCGTACCGGATGTTAGAGCATGCCATCTGAAATGATAAAGGTTCAGAGCTATATACCAGATGATAGAGGACCACACCAAAGCTTAAAGCATGCCATTTGAAACAGAACATATACAGGTACTGCTTTATGCCGACTGTAGGAGGGCTATACCTCATGTTAAGCATGCCATCTGAAACAGAATGCATGGGAACAGCTATATATCGGCTGTTTGGGGAATATTTCAGCTGTTTAACCCTTTCGCCACTATAGACCATAATGGACTCATCCATATCAATGCATGGTAGAGTCTACTAAAGTTACATAGGGATGAAAGGGTTAAGCAAACCACCTGAAACACTCACCCACTCACTGACAACTTTATGCCAAATCTTTTAGGACTTTTCTGGATGTAACAGCAAGCAATATGAAATGGACCATTTACAGGTATGAACCATACCAGATGTTAGAGCATATGTCATACTTACTATTGTAAATATATGCTTGCAATTTGCTAGGAAAGGGCTTAATATAAGTTTGATAACTTGTGCCCAATCCATTTGCTTGGCAATAAAATATGTTCAAACTAAAAATGTCATATTTACAATTTGTCTGCAAGCCTTTGTATCAACATGACCAGAGGAAAGTGTGTTCATTAAGCTATGAATGCAAGGGAACCAAGCATTATTTTGATGTCAACCCAGTAAAATACTAGCCACTTCCTACTGACTTGGCAAGGGACTATTTCTCTTCAGCCCTTTCGTCAGGGTGTCAGATTAGTATAAGAAAGGATCTGATACCTTGAGGAGGCCTCTGTTACACTGACAATTTGACAATTTATAGGGGAGATAACTCTATGCACAAATCATGGGTATACGGAGAGATATAGCATTATTTAAAGTGAGATTTTTTTTTCTAAATTTAAAGGTTTAAGATATTGCATATCCCTACATGTACAATCACATGCAGCATAATATGTAAGGTAGGATATATCCTTAGGGGAGATAACTCTTACTCAACTTATAATACAGACAAAATGCATAAGGAAACATATATCCTTAAGTTTTTAATTGGGCATTGTATATACATGTATATCCTTAACCCTTTCACCCCTATGTAACTTTAGTAGACTTTACCATGCATTGATTTGGATGATTCCATTATGGTCTACAGTGGTGAAAGGGTTAAGTTTTTAATTGGGCATTGTACAACAGGAAGCTATACTCACCTCAAAGGCATACTCTTTCTGAGTTTGAGGATCAGCTGTCGTCCCATATTTTTCTAAAATTAAAATAATTCAAATCAAGTTTAAAAAAATAAACCAAACGGTATGAACTTCAAAAAGTTTTACTTTGTGAGGCTCCTTAAGGAATAATTATTTTAATATAGGCCATTCAGTACCTTTTGGTTTAAATTAAAATGTAAGTGTTACTGTTACATTTATTACGATTTTCTATAAGTAAACGTATCTCACGATATCCATATAACGTAATAGAAAATAAAAAAATGCATTCTTCTGTCACCCAGGTAAAACACTAGCCGCTTCCTACAGAGAAATTCTCTTTAGCTCATTCGGTGGAACATAAGACTATAGTAAGCTACAGGTCCAAGGTTTGACTCCTAGCTGATCATGAGCCTTTGAAAAAATAATGACCTCTAGATCTGTAATACACTTTCATAAAATTTTGTATTGAATTTCTATGATATAGCACTGACTTAGATCATCTAATTCCGTGGATATAGCATGAAGAACGGTTGGTAGACACCATATTTTCTTTAGAGACTTGAGAAAAATATAGTGATAGGGGTACATAGCATTCTATTGATCGAAATTAATGTAGGTTTAATTTCTAGTTATAAACTACTATACACTTCTCATAATTACCCTCGTCAAATTTAAGGCAAAGCAAACTTTCAAAATCATGATGATAATATTAACAAGGTTTTGATTTGTCTGGCCTGATATTGTACTTACTGTTTAGAGTTACAGCAGTAGACTCTGGAGCAATATGTCGCCTGATGAAAATTAAAAAAAGCATTGACACTGCATCACAAAGCACATCTTTTTTTTTTTTTTTCTTTTCTTCAAATTACATAACTTTGTTCCCTTTTGCTAAATACTTATGTCTTTTAAAATATTGTTCATGCATAAACACTGTACATGAACTACCACATATCGGTATATATAATATTATACACATGGGGCAAAGAAGTAATTCCAACAGTGTGGACAAGTGTAGGTTGCCAAATTTTCGGAGTGATCCGCTCCTTTATCAAGACACATTATATACATAATTATATTATACACACATATACATGCATACACAGTACATTTATTCACAGTCATGTCCTTAAACTAAAACTCTTGTATTGCCTGTATGATAGAATTTGAGAGGGGCCCTATCTTGGGAATTAAAAAGGATCATTTGCACAAAACATGGATTTTTTTATCAGACTTTACATTTTCCTAAGCTTGAAATCTGAATAAGGAAACCTTATAGTCAAGTTTGACTTTGTTAGCTTACAAGAGTAAGCAAAATAATTTCCCTTCCTTGATTTATCAAATTATTTTTCTTTAATATCTTTTTATCAGTTGCAGATTTTGATTTCTTAATTACATAATCATGCTGGCTTTTAGTTACAAAGATTTAAAAGTAAATATGAAAAAAATCAAAGTAATACATATTTGTAATTCTCATGTCATTAAGCTACAAATGAAAGTAAGCATGTTCAGAGCAATCCTGGAACGTGTCTATACATTGGTGACCTACATTCTGTTTGAACAGAGATAAGACAAGACCATCTGCAAACAAATTTCCTACCCTTACAACCTAGTCACCTGATCAGTTCACCGATATTATATAATATATATGTCATACACAATTTCAAGTCTGAATATGTTAACAAATCCCATGTGATGACAAAGGAAAAAACCCAATTAACGCCTTTTAATATTTTGATGCTTTTAGTTAGTACCTATTCGTACCATCATTGCATTTGGCAAGTGATATAACGATTTGTCTCTGGGTTTGCCTGAATTTCTTTTACATAATGTCACATTTTCTCCGTTTTACTTTGCTATCATATCTTTTATATATATGAACGCTGCACTAATTGCACATGCGTGTCTTCTACAATGCCTACAGCTCGGACAAAGCAACAGTGAGAAACTCTCAAAAATTGCCAAATTGCAAAACTTCAGATTGACAGATCTAGAATCTACATTACAGTACCCTTGCACTGACAGCTACGCAGACAATGTCGTCTAAACACTAGAACTTCTATCTACACATCAAAGATTAGCATATCATCAGACATCCATTCTTAATTCTTACCATGATTTTGCAACATGTCGCATCAGATTTAGCGCCTTATTCCTCGCTGCAGCAGCCATGGTGTTCGGTGTTCTACTTTTTAACAGCTGATAAGAGGAGAGGGAGATCCCACCGGATGTCAGCAAAAAGCTATTTTTAGATTGAAAAAACCCTTTATCAATTTAAAGTTGAAGTGAATTTTTAGCATCGCATTTGAAGATTTGTGCTTTTGAATTGTTGATTGAAGCAAAAGAGACACCAATGATGTAAATGTTTTCAATATAATTTATCAAATTTATATATAAATAAATTAATATAAAAAAATATTCTACAACTTACCCAAGGGAAATAACTCTCTTATTATTGTTTGTCAAAGTGGAGTGGGAGGAGCATGCAGACGATGTTGAGAAGGATTAACTTGAAATGCTAGGCCCATGATAGTAATGGGACGTCATGTCACATATTTAATGGATAAAGTATAGCTACCTACAACACAATGGTATCAGGACAACTTACATATTAAGCCTGCACGATAATTTACAGAATTTTGAATTAGAATATCAGGAAACGGACAGTTGAAAAGTTAGTCATGGATGACTTTTCATCAACGAGGTGTATCTTGGATGAATCATCTGAATGGGATCACGACGAAGAGGACGTCAAACTCACACCATCTCATGTAATTATGATCTCAGTAGTCCACATGCTTCAAATTTTATTTTAACTTTATTTAAAACTGCTTCTTTGATGTTACTGTTCGTACTTGTTATATGTGCACAGGGACCTGACAATTAAACTGTTAGTATAAAAAAAAAGTATTATTGAGGCCTTTTCTGATGACCATACTGCATGTAGAGTGGTATATAAGTGTTGTTCTTACATAACCGAACTACTCGGTAGTGAAGTGGACTTAAAACCTATCGATCAATCAATCAATCCTTCACACCAGAAAAACGTTTTGATTTTTTTTATAGCTTTGTCTTAATTTTCATAACCCACTATAGTTTAATATGAGGTTTCTGATTTATACATAATGTAAAATAGTATTTAAAAACAAATTAATTTATGTTTGGTGGAAGGGTTGGTTTGAATGGTTTGTTCAGGGTTTTAAATTGATGCTACAGCTGAGCTATTACTGATCAGATCATACGAAGATGGTGTCCACTTGCAGTTCATGGGGATGCACTCATGCAAAGACCATGCACTTTTAAGTACATGCCGTTCTCGCTGAAATGTCATAATCCGAGGACATGGTAGCTTAAGCAAAGAGTTTTAAGACTTTTGTAATATAATATATCTCTCTCTAAAAGGACAAACGAAACCAATCATATTTGAGTCGCTTAATTGGGCGAAAGGTCAACACTAAAGAAAAAAGGGATGGATGGTGCCCCCGCCGTTTGGTTCCCTGGCTCAGTGGCAATAAGGGAATAGAATTTTCCTAGATATTTTTTGCTTCCCTTGCAAAGACCCTTTTCTTCCCTCTTTACATTTCTTCCTTCCCTTTTACCTTTTCCCCTTCATTCTACAATGTATTTCCCTTTGCTATAACCATCAACCTTCTCTTGACCACTTCAGTTTTTCCCCTGATATCACATTTATCTAAATATCACAGTTCTGCTGCCTTCCCTAGGTACATGTACCAAATATATACCTGGTCCTCGGAAATATGTTAGCTCTATTGCGGTACAAATACTGTAAATTCAAAATAAAATTAAGTGGAGCGGATGTTACTCTTGTGCGAAAAAACCAAAGTGAAATCTCTAGTATTTTGTCTGCAGCGGGACAAGGATCCTTAATTATACCCCACGCAACGAAGCTAGAATCAGCTTGTCCGTCCGTAGAAAAAGTTTGTCCCGACAACTCCTTCTAAAGTAATGGTTAAATTTCAACAAAACTTTCCACATATGATAATTATATAACTACCTGACCTAAATTTGTGCATCCAGGTATGATTTTTTTCATTCTGACCCTTTTTTACGAAGTTATGGCCCTTTGTTGGGGCTCGAATGCGCGACCCTTGGCTCTCAAGTCCGATGCTCTTCCGCTGAGCTAATTAATGGGAAATTCCCTACAGCTGACGCCTGTAAGGCAACCTAACCAATGCACATCTTTTACACTATTCTTGGGTATGACTGTTCATGTACAGTAGTTGTTGAAAAATCCTTGTCCAGACAACTCCTCCAAAACTATGGGGCCAATTTCAGTGAAAGTTTTCAGATATGATAACTATTACCCGAAGTTGTGTATTCGGGTATTATTCTTTTCATTCTGACCATTTTTACACTATTATGCCCATTGTTGAAAAATGCTTGCCCGCACAACTTCTCCAAAACTACCGGAAAAATTTCAATGAAAATATTCAGATATTATAACTACCACCTGATGTTGTGCATCCAGGTATTATTTTTTCAATCTGACCCTTTTTTACGGAGTAATGGCCCTTTGTTGAAAAATACCTTCTCCAGACAATTCCTCCAACACTTCCAATTTCAACAAAAATTGTTAGATATGATAACTACCACCTAAAGTTGTGTTTTTCCAACCCTTTTTTTATGGAGTTTTGGCCCTTTGTTGAAAATCCTTGTCCTGACAACTTTTCCTAATCTACTGGGTCAATTTCAAGGAAAGTTTACAGATATGGTCATTACTCCCTGATGTCGTGCCTCAGGGTAGTATTTTTTAATTTCAACACTTTTTATGGAGTTGTGGCCCTTTGGTTAAAATCTTTGTCTTGACATATCTTCCTTGACTACTAGGACTATTTCAGCAAAACTCGTTCATCTGGTTGGGCTAACAAGATTTGGTATGCAAGTATGTTTTGGCATTGAGAGGGAGTACAGGAAGTATATGAGTGACCTGTATACTTAAATAAGTGTACAGCTCAGCTAATAAAGAAATCACATTACTGGTGGGAGACTATATATTGCTTTGCAATGGTTTGCCTTAGTAAGCTGATACAATACACAAGAAAGTATCACGGTACAATATACCGTTGCAGTGCTATAACTGTGAAACATGAACAAGAAAATGGCAACTTGTATAGCACTGCACTCTATATTGTACCGTGATACTTTCTTGTGCATTGTATCTAATTGTTTTGTTTGCCTGTATCGAGATAAACTAATAGTACATTTAAAAATTGTCAATCAATTTTGATCAAACTTTAAACACTGTACATGTGCAGTCATACCCAAAAGTAGTAGAAATTATACAACAATATATTGCGATAGTATTTACTATTGAAAATGTCTATATAACAAAATCTGCTAAAATCCTGCACTCAATCATTATGAAGTTGACCTTTCAAGCAGATATTTGTATCATAATATGTATCGTATTGTGAGCATCATGCATGTATTGTGAGGTATGCATATCGTTCCAGGCCTAAATAGTAATTTGATCATTGTTGCTGATATTTAAATAAGGCCAAATAAAATAACTTACATACCCTAGATTTGTATGCCCACCCTAAATAGTAATTTAAATATTTTTCAAAACGAACAAAGAAACAAATTGCCTACCTACCTACCCTATTTGCTGAGGATGATAATGGAAACACATTTGTTTTTGTTTTTTGTTTGGCCTAATTATAACTACTGCATTTGAATAGATCAAGAATAATATCTGAATAAACAAGGGTCCATTGATTGCGTAGATCAGACAATACAGTGATCGTTTATCTTATTCGGGATGTAAATAATCGGACAATATTTCAGCGTCCCCTGGACACTTCATATCAACAGTTTGTTTATTTTGATAAAGTCAATATTCATAAGTGTATGCATACTGTCAGATCTTAAGCCTTTTATATCATGTCCAGGCTATCAGTATTATCTTAATAGAACGGGGTACACATGCACCAAATATATGTTACATATTCTGGTGAACAATACCATTGTTTCAAAGGACATTTAAGACAAATTGGTTATAAGTGAGCCAAGATGATGGATTTCTACATACCAGTAGGTATATTAGATTTTACACATTTGTAACCTTGTGTACATTGAAATCTGACTAAAACGAAAGCTTTGTTGATAGAGATTTACAGAAAATATAGGTTTTGTTTTAGACATAAATTTGAAGTAATTTTTGTGCAGAATATGATTTTCATTATGTACAGTGATGTGGTCACATAGAACTCACTAGGGAGATAACAGATCACTTTCTGGACGAGGTCTAAATAGTAATACTGTATAGCGCTTTAAATTCATGGAGTCAATATTTTTGCGGTTTCATATCAAGTACATATTTGCGGGGGTAAACCCTTTCACCACTGTAGACCATAATGGACTCATCCAGATCAATGCATGGTAGAGTTTACTAAAGTTACATGAGTTGAAAGGGTTAAGTTTCGCTGCGCATTCAAATTCCATGTGTCGTGCAAAGTATTTTGAGTGTCATCATTTAAGGGTTAAACCTCAAAATACAGGTAAACCTTTTAAAAACACTGATCCCGAGCGTCGTCTTCACTCGAAATCAAATGTGTATGTACCTTTTTAGGAGTAAACTGTAATCAATTGATCACCTACTGTGTACACATAAATATGTTGTGGCCACCTATATGTAAGCGTGTTTTTACATGGACTGCTCATTTGTCCGGTGATAATCTGAGTTCATTTAATTAGCTTGCATAACAGCGTAGGGTTAATATAAGTATTTTCAACATGTTGTGAATCAAGGTCCGTAAAAGTGGTTAACATTTTCTGTGATTTCGCTGGTATTAAGAATTCGCGGATATAAGTCAAAGCGCAAATATAGCAAAATAAAAAAATAATGCGAAATATGACTGCTATACAGAATTCATATGCAGAGTTCTGAATGATTTTTTTTTTAAAACTTAATTTTTACTGAGTTTACTAGTGTTTTTCTGGAAGAATCCAAAACTCTTTATATCTACAGTAAAAGTTTTAGTTTCTTTTTTTAGTACTTTTGATTTAAAGATTATCAATTGCAAGAATCTCTTGTAATCTTCAAAGGACAATTATCAGCCTAGTGATTGGTCAGTTTTTTTATACCTGAGACCAATCAAACAACTATCTTTGTGCCTTCAATTTTGCTATGACATATTCCAGGGGTGCAGAGAGAGAAAGTGAGTGTAATACCTGGATACCCAGGATGATCTGCTGGTGGATTTTGCTGTAACGGTTAGTAACCTATAATTTTTCTTTAGAAAACAGCCGCCACTTCGTACCCTGAGCAGCTGGCCAGTAGAACAAGCATAAATTGTGACAGGATGGACAGCGGTCAAGCAACTGCAGATCCTCTTACCTCTGATAAACATCGGTCAGGTGCTGAAGTAAGAAACAGGTAAATACTGAAAACAGACTACTACAGTATTCCAGAAAAGCTTTGATTATTGTTGGACAATTCTCCTTGATGTTCATCCCTGCATGTAGTATGTAAACTGATGGCAAAATTTCACCACATCCCATGCTATTGGAATTTAGCCATTTTTTTCGACTTGATAAATGAAACCCTCCCTAATTTCAAAAATAAAATCAAGCTAGATCCAATATACTATATATATATCATGAATATGTATCATTTATCATTAATTTTTGACTTGACAATAGAAAAGTCCAATTTTTGATAATGGTTGTTTTGACATCCTATCAAAAGCTAAGGTCATTTAAGAACATGCCTCTATGTGTGTTGTGTAAGCGTGCATGTATGTATGTGTGTTAGATGCAGGGTATGTTGGTGTATTTGCCAGCTTGTGATAGTGTGGGTCTGATGCTGACTTTATAGTGCTACCTCACTGAAATACCATGCTGAGGGCACCCAGCACAGCATTTCACCCAGTCACATGATTAGACTGCAGACACCGGGTGAACCTGTTGTTGTCATTACACTTAATGCTGAGCGTCCAACAGGGAACAACAACTACTATTTAAAGGACTTTGGTATGTCCCAGCCTGGGAATAGAATCCATTGCCTTCCTCACCTGGGTGACATTCAACATTAATCCTTTCACCACTGTAGACCATAATGGACTCATCCAGATCAATGCATGGTAGAGTCTACTAAAGTTACATAGGGTTGAAAGGGTTAAAGCCACAAGTGAAGTATTGCCAAGCAAGGCACTAGGAGACAAAAGATAGTTAGAGGTAGAGAGAAATACAAAAATCCCAGATATTGCGATTGGTGTAGCAGACTTATTTTTTCAATGCTTTAATTTTGTGTCCCCAAGTAGGGTGCACAAACGCGAGATGATTTATCAAAGCTATTGTCATGCTTAATAACAAAGTTGCCTAGTTACAGTTATAAGCAGTGGTATGGGGATTCTTAAGGTACAAAATTATCCTTATTTATTATAATTAATTAACAAATTTGAGTTTGGCCAGAAATAATGGAATAAATTCTATTCCTAGGGCAACGACAAACAGTGGACTTCTCCGTTCTATTGACCAGGTTTTCTACAACTCCATGGAATCTCAACCGAACAGAATGACAGTCGGTTGTTTGAATGGCGGAAAATCCAAGATGTCCTCCAACCGAATTCCAGGATGGGCCTGGACCCTACTGGTGCACATTTTAGGAATCAAGTGCCATGAATCTAATATGAAAACGAAATGCTTGGCAATTTTTTTGCAACTTTTTACCATCTTAATCGCCTGTACTTTCACAGTGAGTGGAGTTATACATACTGTTTACGACGTCATGTCGAAATTCTCCGATACAACTTTACTGATTGGAATCGTGAACCTGATCCTTGGGTTTAGTTGGATATGTTTGGGAATTTATTCAAATAAACTTTCGAAGAAACTTTTCAGTAATCGTAACTTTGTGGAAAGTGTTCGGATACACTCGCGGACATTTTTTAAAGTCAGTGCGGCTGGACTTTTGATATTTCTTGGTACAGTGGCTATAATCATCAATGGTTATATCAAATATACAGAGTTCGGTCCACGCCATTGTCAGACGCTAAATATAAATACCGTCATATGTCATGTGATGTATACCTCCCATGTGTCATTCTCAGTTATCTCCCTTCTATGGAATTTACTAGTTGGTTGTATGTTGCTCTCCGTCTGCAGAACACACACTATCGGTGGGTACCTTGATATATGAATGATTGATCACTGATTACCGGCAACATTTTCATTGCAGTTTTAATATTTTTACCCCCTCAGAAATGAAGGCGAATTTATCATTACAGCGAACATTAGTCAACAAAATAATATACATTAGGATCTAACATGAGTTTCCATTTCATATGAGATTTCTGAAACGAGACTAAGAATTTTCAATTTAACGAGCCTCTGGCGAGCTAAAACCAAATATTTGTGACAAATTTCATAAATGCCATATGAAATGAAAACGAGTGTCAGATCCTTTTTATCACATAATCAAGATTTGTGGCATTTATTCTTGAAACTGGACAACTTTCATGCAACCTCGAAATGTAAAAATTGCCATTTTGTCTCCAGTGCGGAAGTCTGTGATGTCATGTACTTCGCCTATGCGTGATGTCACAATTTAAACAATTGAAACTTACAGGCAATCACAGGGCCGATAGGTCATTATTCCATGGATTAATACGCAAAAAAATATGACATGGGTATATTCACTGGATAACACAGTACATTATTTGATAAATAGTAATTAAATGCCAAGCGCTAATTTAAAACTGTTCGAATATGGATTTTACCGGCTAAGGGTGAAAGTTTGACTGGGCGAAACTTTCCTGGTGTACAGCACTTTGTTGCAAATTATCAATTACTTCCTTTTCTAAATATTTTCTATTATCATGGCTAACATAACCAGGGATTAATGCAGGAATAAAAAGTTTATACCCTTTTTTGAAATAGGGAAAAATATGCGTAGTTGGTGCATGACCTGTCCAGTGAGGGCTGTTAATTAAAGACACTTAAAATTGACTGCTGGATTAGAATAAAACGTTTGTGTGACTGTTAAGATAGTATAAACTAAACAGTGTTGTAATATATCAGCAGCGACAATTAAATTGAAATAAATCACTCAGTCGTGGAACTGATGGAAAATAGTAAAAACAAAATGGAACCAAGACAGATATTCATGTGATAGTATTTAGTTACAAGTGGGGGAATTTTAACTGAAATAGGGGTAAATAATGCCAAAAATTGTGAGGGAAATTGACCCATATTTGGCCATATATAAAAAAAGCCTGTACATATATGCGATATCACAAGAAAAATATAAATAATGACTTGTTTCTTAAAGTCATCAAGAAGTGAAACAGATCTCATTGTTACAGAATTAATTTCATCAGTTTACACTGCTGTGTTTCTACAAAACGGAGTACATTCTTTATTGTATCCGATATTACTTTGTAGAATTGGTGTGAATTCACTGATTTTCATGGGGTTTTAATTTCATTGATTTCGTGGATAATTGTTACAAATTCGTGGGTCCACGAAGTAATTAAAGTTTGATAAAAAGAAATTATAATTTGAGTAGGTACTCGTAATCCACAAATTCATGTACCCAAGATTTTTTTATTTTTTTTTCAGTACAAATATTTTATTCCCCCAGCCATTTTTTCATAATATGTATATGCAGATACTGCTTCGAAGCAGATATATATATACATATATAAATATTTTGATAGGGGATGCCAGGGTTGGGGAGCCCTGGAGTCAGCCCCTGAACAATATGGTGTCCTCATGCAGGAGGGTTCTCATTCAACATCCATCAGTCAAACTATAAATAAATAAGTAGGAATGTACCCAAGAAATGGTGTTTTGTTCCTTGGTAAACCACAAAATTTTGGGCCCCACAAAAATATATTCAATTTAGCCAAAGTACAATTGTATGACATTGTGTCTGTCAAGAATCTGATATAGTTATTTAAGTATCATTTTAAGTGACGAAGGCATTGTAAATAATTGTTCAATTTACATTATTAATATCAGTTCAAAATGAGTCCTAATTGTTGTATATATATGTGTTCATTCAATTAAGTTGATAAGAAAAAATGTTTCTTGAATTCATTATTTTATGAAGCTCATACATGTTTTTGGTTACAGATAATATTTTCAAGCATCTTTTATCACTATTATATCAATTGATAACAAATTGATGATACAGTCATTTTGTTTGATGTCTTTATAAGGTGTACGCCGGTTTATCAGAGTGCTTGAGCACGATGCCAAATTATACATGGACATCTGTAGCGGAACTCATACGCGGCTAAAGTCTAACAGTGACGAGGATATGGACCTGATATCTTGTGCATCAAGCAGTGAGTCTATGAAATAGATAATAATCTAAATATATCTATAGAGTGATTCCTGTGTAATCTGAAATATACAATATATTAGTCAGATTAAACAGGATGTTAAAGTTCACAGGTTTATCTTTGGTATTTTCTATAAGAAATTGGATTAAAGCCTTAGTTAGCCGAGATGGCAGCACAGGCTGTATATATGCTCCCCAGAGAAAGATATTGGCTGGTTGCAAATTAAAGGCCCTTTAACGACGAATAATAATTTGTGAACCGCTTTGAGATGACCAACAAACTAAGTTGTGATAAAGCGATATATATATATATATCAGTACCACAAATTATCATTAATTAATTATAATGTTGTATCGGACAAGATGTTGGATGTTGGTCATTTTTTCTTTACATTTTCCCTTCAGTTGTAACGCCATTACTCTCTACAAAGTGTAGTACTTCTCCCTTGATTTACATACGTTCCATCTTATGAAATGATATAATAGGGCATCGTTTTGTATCAAGTATAACAATTCAGAACTTTCATCCAATATGTAAGGATCTGAAAAGTGATATTGGGCTCGACTTTGTCTCGGTAGATGTCTCTTTTTCAGGTTCATATTCACCTCAACAAAAGTCTGTAGTTGATAAACATATGTTGTATATGTTTGACCTAAAATTATTAAATTTACTTATTTCACTTATTGGCCTGAACGTTAGTGCGCAGGAAGGTCTTTGATGTGGGAGGAAACCAGAGTACCGGGTGAAAACCCATGTGGTCGGGCAGGTGACCTCATACATTTTCACACCCTATCGGTAAATCGAACCCTGGCCGCCTTCTTAGGTAAAGTGAGCTATCCACTGCACCATCAGAATTTATTTTCAATTCTAATATTTCATAAATCTCCAGGGTCGGAGTGGTTCATTTGGGATGACGATGGAAACAGAGATGGATTTTCTGACAGTTCTGTACATGAAAACACATTCCAAAATTCACGGGGGATCATCAGCTCAGTAAACTCTGGCGATCAGCCAGAGAGATTAAGAGACTCGACTTTGCCTGGACATTTGCACTCTAGGGGAAACGCCCACTCAAATGGACACACCCACTCAGGGGCACACGCCCACCCAGAGGAACTGTCCCACTCGGGGCATGCACATCCAGCCAGTTACAGCTCACAGGTAAAGTGAGCAAAATTCTGTGCAACATGTTGATTATGCAATACTGGTGATATGTTTTATGCTCAGAGTATACAAATTTCAATTTTTTATATTGACCTCCATACTAGAGAATGGCTGTACTATTCATTGGACAAGCATGCATTATACATTTACTAATTTGAACTATATGCTGAATTCTATTAGGTGGATTGTAACTTCTATGGTATTGAAATACTCCAAGAATGATAATTACAAACATTGTACTTTGGTGACATGGCATTCACAGTCTAAATGAATGACACAGCTTTAATTTGTAGGCAGACAAATGACAATTAAAATGGCACATATTATGATGTTTGCCTGTGAAGCTGTGTCATTCATTAGACTGTAAATGCCATATCAACACAGTTCAATATTTATGTATTCCCACTACTAACCTTACCTTGTCACTTTTTTGTTGACTATTTCTTTCAGTTTGAGGATTCTTTGGTGGAGGACAAAACACTGACCAGAAGCGTTCTTTCTAACGAGGAGCTACTGATGTGTTACTGGAAGATCTCGGTAATTACTTCTGACACCCTACTCAATGTATATAATGCTGTTTCGTGCCTTTTTCCTACATATTAACAATTTGTTATTGTCATCTGATTGACAGAACAGTGGAAGATGTAGATTGACAGGTATTTGTACATATATAGAGTTATCGCCCTTGTGTTCTGGTCTTCCGGCAGTTGAAGCACGTATGAACCTTTTGTAAACAACTCTAATGTCATTATAAGCTACTGTCACCACAGGGTAAATGTATCAATTTGAATATTGGTGAATAGCAACATATATTTGCTTCATTACAATGTTTTATTTTTCTTTGTGACCTTTTTCGGAGATAGCACAATACCATTTCCATGAGGAATCTGAATTACACTGCCAAATTAATGGCCCCCACATGTTTCGGTACCTATATTTCCCCTTTTTTCTGTTTGTTCCTTACAGTATTTTTACCCTTTCAAGATGATTGGCAACAATAAGGGCAATACAAAGATTCTAAGTCTTGTGGCGTCGTAACATCACTATTAATAAGTTTTACAAAAAAAGGGATCTGAATGTGCAAATTGTTTAATCCGTCTTTCCCGTGCCGGCTAAGTGTATGTTGCATGTTTCTTCTGTCTTCTATGACCTTAGTTGTTGTAAAGACAGTGGAACTCTTTTTGGATTGAAGGCATAAATCACAATTAAGCAGCATATAGCCTTAATGGTGCTCCTAATAGGAAAGTTTGATTTCTATGAATGGTGGGTCAAAAACATCCTTGAAATGTTAGGGGTTATGTTCAATTTCATTTTCTGCACCCCTAGAATATTTCATGACAAAATGGAAGGCACACGGTTTTGCTATTTTTGATTGGCTTCAGGTTTAGTTGCTAGGCTGATATCTATCATTTGAAGATTATATAGGGGAGACATCCGACTTCACAGACAGTCAAGTTTTACCCTTACACTGCCGCATGATTCTTTTGATATACAAATCTACATTTGTATCATCGACAAAGTGTTACATGCAAAGTGTTCAATTTCTTTATGAGATATTCCAGGGGAAGATAAGAGAATGTAACCCCTGTGATTTCGTGGGGTGTAAATAATGCTCTCAATGTCTGTATTTACCCCTACAGCACCGCATGCGGATCACATCAACGTGCCTGCAGCGATGGCTGGCTAGCTGGATTCTGTTCGTGTTGGTTTGGTGCGGAGACTACATTCTCTATTGGATCAGTCACGACGCCATCATCTGGGAGGTCATCGAGTGCATCATCCCACTACTCCTACTGCTCATCGTGTGTTCCGCCTTCGCTGAGGCCAACGGGGAAGGCCAGAGAATGATCAGAGTGAGGCTACATACGATTACTGTCAAATCTCTAATATATAGTCCTATGTAAAATGAAAAAATGTATAATTTGAGGTGAAAATGTTAAGAGGAAGGAATACTGATATTTTTATTTCATTTCACAGCCTGTTAAAAGGACACACACAAACAAACTGATCCCTGAAATAAACTTATAAGACCCTGTCTGGAGTGAAATATGTGCTTACTAGCACACTGGGCTAAAACCCTATGTACCTGGTACATTACCATATTACAGGTTATTTTCACAGGAATGATATTTTCACATTTTTTGCAGGTCATTAACGTGTTTGGAAAAAATATGATCCGAACCATAATATGACGTGTAAAAATGAGCCAAGATTATATATAGGCATCAAAACTGTCAAAAGGAGCATGTAGTTGTAACAATTCATTTACATCTAAAAGTAGAACAAACAATTTGAAAATAGATGGGAAGGATTGTCTAGGTGAACATGCATTACAGGAGTTACCATGTATTTTTTTTTATTTGCATTTTTATACAAACGTCACCTTGAGATATCAGAGACAGTATCCACGAAAATTTCTTTCACCTCGTGTCTGGATCAAGAAATTATTTTTTGTGTTAATTTAGTACCGTAATTTTGGGTCAACGTCTTGAAAATTTCAGCCTGCATAAATAACCTGTTACAGGGTATTATGTAAATTAATTGTCTTTACTATTTCAAGTGCATGTATTTTATTATTGCCTGTTATTTTCAGTGTATTTGTCCAACAGAGAACAGACTGAAGCTATTGTATTTCCTAACTCAACAGCCACTTCAGATGCAAGTAAGTACACAGTTACTGCCCTTGAATAAGGGCGACGCATGAGTATTTGTTTCCCTAATGTGTGGTTGGGTTGTAATAAAATGGAAAGGAGATAAAATAATGAATAATGGGCAAACAAGAGTACATGTACTTAATTAAAGTGGATGGAACATGTTTCATAATTGTTGTAATAATAATAAAGTTAACATTTAATTGTGAAAGGATTTAATTCTTATTACAATCCCCAGCTGTAAAATTATAATTTATAAGGAGTAAAAAAATCAACACGTTATTTATTACATGATTGACTTTCGAATACATTTCATCTAAAACTGTTTCAGTAAGTAGTCCTGAAATATCAAGGAGAAATAAGGTATTCTTCTATTTTTAGCTCACCTGGCCCAAAAGGCCATGTGAGCTTATGTCGTACTGCGGCGTCCGTGTCAACTTTGTCAACCTATTCTAATCGCTTTCCGTCCGTCGTGCGTAATTTATTTTTGCATTTTCAACTTCTTCTCAAGAACCAGTTGATGGATGTTTTTCAAACTTGGTAAGAATCATCCTTGGTAGATGAGGCTAAAAAATTGTAAAATTGGGACTCCTACCCCAACCCCTGGGGCCAGTGCGGGGCTTCAAAGGGAAAATTAACCAATATTTCAAAAATCTTCTTCTCCAGATTCAGAGGTACTACATTCAATTTCAGTGCATAAAAAGGCAAAACAGGGGCTTTATTTAAATTGTAAATTTCAGGACCCCAAGCTATCCGTTCTCCCTTGGGGAGGGGGTAAAGTTTACTATAGTTTATATAGGAAAATAAATCTTTTGGGTATATTTTGACAACTTTCTGTAGGAAATTATTTTTAGCCCACCATCATCTGTACCAGAGGGATCTTTCTCAAATTTTATATGTAGGTTCCCTTGGTCCTGAGCTGTACAGGGCAACTTTTGAGACTGATCGGATAAACAACATGGCTAACAGGCAGCCATCTTGGATTTCGATAGTGAAAGTTTGTTATCGCTATTTCTCAAGAAGTACCAGAGGGATCTTTCTCAAATTTTATATGTAGGTTCCCCTTGGTCCTTAACTATGCAGGGCAAGTTTTGAGACTGATCGGATAAACAACATGGCCGACAGGCAGCCATATTGGATTTTGATATTGAAAGTTTGTTATCGCTATTTCTCGGGAAGTATCAGAGGGATCTTTCTCAAATTTTATATGTAGGTTCCCCTTCGTCCGTAGCTGTGCAGTGCAACTTTTGAGACTGATCGGATAAACAACATGGCCGACAGGCAGCCATCTTGGATTTTGATAGTGAAAGTTTGTTATCGCTATTTCTCGGGAAGTACGGGAGGGATCTTTCTCAAATTTTAAATGTAGGTTCCCCTTGATCCCTCGTTGTGTATGTTATATTTTGAGACTGATCATAAAAACAAAATGGATTAAAAGAAGAACTAAACAGATCTTTCTCATATTGCAATGATCGATTCTATTTCTTTCACATTAAGTACTGTACTAGTAAATATGTGAAATGACAAACTCACTTTGAAGGTTGGCTTTCATACACATCAGTATTAAGTTTAGATCAAAAGTTACCTCAAGGTGCATTTACTGTTAACATGACTCGATCAAACAGATTAGAGGAAAGAAGAGAAAAGATCGAACTGACAAAGAACTAATGAAGATGGTACAAAGGTGGGCGCCAAGATCCCTCTGGGATCTCTTGTTACTTAATGAGAATTATCCCTGGAGGATGATGGTTTCAAATTGTAAAATTGAGATTCCTACCCCAACCCCTGGGGCCAGGGCGGGGCCCCAAAGGGAAAATTAACCAATATTTCGAAAATCTTCTCTCCAGACTCAGAGGTACTACAGTCATTTTCTCTGCATGGAAAGAAAGATCATTAGGGGCTTTATTTAAATTTTAAATTTCAGGACCCCCGAGCTACATGTATCCGTTCTCCCTTGGGGAGGGGGTAAAGTTTACTATAGTTTATATAGAGAAATAACACTTTTGGGTATATTTTGACAACTTTTTGTAGGAAATTATTTTTACGGTGATAATTATCCTTGGAGGAAGATGTTTTCAAACTGTAAAATTGAGATTCCTACCCGAACTCTAGGGGCCAGGGCGGGGCCCAAAAGGGAAATTTAACCAATATTCCAAAAATCTTCTTCTCCAGACAGAAAATTACTCAAACTTAGTCAGAATCATCTTCGGTGAATGAGGGTATAACATTGTAAAATAAAGATCCCTGCCCGATCCCCAGGGGCTAGGGCGGGGCCCCAAAGGGAACATTTACCAATATTTTCAAATTATTATCCTTTGATGACATGACAAGTATTGTATTTCACTTAGTTTACATGCTGATTTCCACATCACATCTTAACAATGAAATAAAGCTACAAGTACCTATGATATAACTCAGGTGACCGCTAAGGCCCTTGGGCCTCTTGTTCTTTTGAACGACTTCTTCTGAAGAACTGGAGGACCTAGGGTCATGATATTTGATCAGTAGGTAACTGGGATCGAGTGCTATAACATTTCCTCAATGACCTTGACCTACTTTCAAGGTAACAGGGGTCAAATATGATAAAAACTTCAAACAACAATATCTTAAGAACCATTTGGTCTATATAGTCATGATACTTGGGTATGTTATGTAGACCAGCTGTGTGAATCATTTTCTTTATTACAGTTATGAGGTCAAAGGTCAACTTTAAGTGCTAGCCAGAGTAACAACAATATCTTAAGAACCGTTTAAGAGGTGTTAAATGTTTTGTGTTCTAGTTACCAAATTTGGTCTGAAGTTACCTATATGTCAGTTTAATGTAACAAAAGAAAAAGGTGAGCGATAAAGGCCCTCCGGGTTCTTGTTATACACAAAAGGTCAAGACCACATTGAGGTCAAAGGTCAAATCCATTTTCTTGGCCATAACTTCTGACTTGCTGAAAAAAGCTCTATGAAATTTTATAAAAATATGTAAAATGACAAGGCATTTTGGGGTCTGTGTGTCCAAGGTCAAATTCTCATTAAGCTCAAAGGTCAAATTGTTTGTCCAAGTTATAACTTGTATATCTCCAAAAGTAAATGTAGATTGAAAAAAAAGGTTTGTCACATAGTTAATTAATTTCAGAGATAAGGCATAACACAACCTTTATTCCAGTCCCGATGACCTTTTCAGGGAGCGTAATCCATCAGTTTTACTGACTTTCTTGTCTTACAGGTTTTCAATTTCTCCATCACTTACAATGCCGTATTTGGTGTTGTGGCAGCCTTTACCGTGGCCTTCGCCTCTAGGATCATCTTGGATGAAGTCTACAGTGGCAAATAGGAATTATAATGTGGCACATTTTCCTTGATGTACCTTGATGACCCTTTTATACCCTAAAAATCTCGGACAAAGTTTAGAGTGGTAAACTGAATCACAACACACTTTTCATGAATTTAAACTTAAATAATTTGTGAAAGTGAATGAATGACTGCCATTTTGATGCCATATTTATCCAGCAATAAGCCCACCCCACCCATATGTTATTTTATTGTCCTATAACTGTGATAAGCCCCCTCCCTGCTTTAAGTCAGACATTATTCCCCGGAACTCCGGTCTTCCTCCACCATCCAAACATGACACATCCTTAAATGACCATAGCTGTCAATAGAACGTAAAACACAAACAAACCAACGGAGCATTTCCTTGATGTGCCTTGGTGACCGTGTTATACTGTAAAAATCTCAAACTTTAGAGTGGTAAAATGAATCACAGCGAACTTTTATAATGCATATTTAAATTTATATAGTTTGTTTACATAAGTAAAGGACTGTCTTCTGATGCCCTGTTTATCCAGCAATAAGCCCATGTTTTGTAATAAGCCCACCCATATGTTATTTCATTGTCCTATAACTGTATTATAACAGGCTTATTAGAGGACAAATACAGTGATATATACAGTATATAATACCGTAAAGTACCTTGGAGCTACCACTAGCCCTCCACCACTGGGTCGCTGGTTCGAGACCTACGTGAGGGTCACCAGGTACTGGCTGTTGGTTTGTGGTTTTTCTTTGAGAACTCCGGCTTTCCTCCACCACCAAAACCTGACACGTCCTAAAATGACCATAGCTGTTAACTCATTCACCCCTGAAATTTTATAATGAACTATTCCAACCTTTGAATAAGAAGAGTTCAAATGTGTCTTCAGGGGTGAATGAGTTAATAGGACGTAAAACATAAACAAACCAAACCAAATTATACAAAGGTTCTATCGTAAATCTTTCTATTTTCCTGTAAACTTGATATGATGAAATATTTCAGTAGATTTATATTCATAAATATTTGAACTCACATTCCAGAGGATGCTATTAAAGTAATGATAATCCAATAATTTAGTGATCTTTGGCATTTATATAATATAATAATAATTTAATGATTTTGTATATTATTATTATTACATATCTGTTCAAGCGATGAGACAAATTTGGTTTCATGGTAGCAATTTTTAAATAGTAAACATTTTTCACAAAGTCATTCTCCCAAAGGCTGTATTTGATATAGAAATCTGAAATTGTCCGTTCTATTTTTCATGCAATTGAGTGCCATTGAATAATATTTATACAAAAAATCTTTCATTTTTTATCTGTTTTTATGAGAAGTGATGTTACTAGAAAACACATTACCCTTAAACTATCTGTGATATATTTGTTTGAAATAAATTAGTTTGTTATTGAATGAATTATTCAAAATGACATCAAACATTCCGACACCTTGACTGGATTAGTTTGACATTCGATTGTAGTATTTGTGGTTTTGGGTTTTATGGTCACCTTTGTAAATCTTAACAGTGACTTCAATTGATTTTGTATGGCTATATATTTAGCTGCTTTAATTGGTTGTAAATTGTTCAAAAAATATATATATATCCCTATAAGTGTTTGTTCGCCTTAAAGGAAAACATTGTTTGAAATAAAAGAAATGTAACTTGTCAAAATATACTGTGAAATATGTCTTATATGATCCCTGAGTATTCTGAAATGTCTTATCTGACACCTGAGTATTCTGAAATGTCTTATCTGACACCTGAGTATTCTGAAATGTCTTATCTGACTCCTGAGTATTCTGAAATGTCTAATGTGACACCCGAGTATTCTGAAATGTCATATCTGACACCTGAGTATTCTGAAATGTCATATCTGACGCCTGAGTATTCTAAAATGTCTTATCTGACACCTGAGTATTCTGAAATGTCATATCTGACACCTGAGTATTCAGGCGTCAGATAAGACATTTCAGAATCCTCAGGTGTCAGATATGACATGTCAGAATACTCGGGTGTCAGATAAGACATCTCAGAATACTCAGGTATCAGATATGACATTTCAGAATGCTCAGGTGTCAGATAAGTCAGTATTCTGAAATGTCATAACTGACACCTGAGTATGCTGAAATGTCATATCAGACACCTGAGTATTCTTAAATGTCATATCTGATACCTGAGTATTCTGAAATGTCCTATCTGACACCTGAGTATTCTGACAACATGACATATCTGACCCCAGGGTATTCTGAAAATATGTCTTATCTAACCCAGAGTTTTCAGACATCTTGTCTTATCTGACAGCTGAATATTCTGACATCTTGTCTGATCTGAAACTTGAGTATTCTAACATCTTGGCTGATATGAAACTTGAGTATTCTGACATCTTGGCTAATATGAAACTTGAGTATTCTGACATCTTGGCTAATCTGAAACCTAAGTTTTCTTACATTTTGGCTTATCTGAAACTGTATATTTTGACTGATTATTTTGACATTCTAACCAACATATAGCTGTTATACCATTTTTGATTTTAAAAAATTAAACAAAAACTGTCCTGTCTTATCCAACTAAGTTGTCAAATACTAGTTTTCCCTGTAGATCCCATATAGTGTCAGATTATACAGGTTTCTCTGAATATCCTACAAGGCATCAGATCACATGGGGTGTCAGATTAGACAGGTTTCCCTTTAGATACCACATTGTGTTGGATCCCATTTGGTGTCATATTAGACAGGTTTTATTGTTAATCCTACAGATTGTCATTTAAGACAGTTTTCCTGTAGATCCCACAGGGTGTCAGATTAGATAGGTTTTCCTGTAAATCCCATGGTGCGTCAGAAAGGTTTCCTGTGTAGCTCCCACAGAGTGTCAGATTAGACATTGCAGATCCAACAGGGTGTCAGGTATAAGGGGTTTTCCTGTTGATGACACAGGGTGTCAGTTTAGACAGGTTTCCCTTAAGACCTCACATTTTATTGGATTGGAAATGGTTCATTGTAGATCTCACTGGGTATCAGATTGTACAGGGTTTCTTTAACCCTGCATATTATCAGATAAGACAAGTTTTGTTGTAGATCCACCAGGGTGTCAGATTGGACAGGTTTCATGGTACATCCACTAGGGTGTAAGATAAGACAGGTTTTATGGTAGATCCACCAGGGTGTCAGATTGGACAGGTTTCATGGTAAATCTACCAGGGGTGTCATATTGGACAGGTTTTATTGTAGATCCACCAGGGTGTCAGATAAGACTGGTTTTAGTGTAGTTCCACAATGGTGTAAAATAAGACAGGTTTTATTGTAGATCCACCAGGGTACCAGATAAGACAGGTTTTATTGTAGATCCACCAGGGTGTCAGATAAGACTGGTTTTAGTGTAGATCCACAATGGTGTAAAATAAGACAGGTTTTAGTGTAGATCCACCAGGGTGTCGGATAAGACAGGATTTATTGTAGATCCACCAGGGTGTCAGATAAGACTGGTTTTAGTGTAGATCCACCAGGGTGTCAGATAAGACAGGTCTTATTGTAGATCCACCAGGGTGTTGGATAAGACAGGTTTTATTGTAGATCCACCAGGGTGTCAGATAAGACAGGTTTTAGTGTAGATCCACAATGGTGTAAAATAAGACAGGTTTTATTGTAGATCCACCAGGGTGCCAGATAAGACTGGTTTTAGTGTAGATCCCCAAGCGTGTCAGATAAGACAGGTCTTATTGTAGATCCGCCAGGGTGTTGGATAAGACAGGTTTTATTGTAGATCCACCAGGGTGCCAGATAAGACTGGTTTTAGTGTAGATCCCCCAGGGTGTCAGATAAGACTGGTTTTAGTGTAGATCCACCAGGGTGTCAGATAAGACTGGTTTTAGCGTAGTTCCACAATGGTGTAAAATAAGACAGGTTTTATTGTAGATCCACCAGGGTGCCAGATAAGACTGGTTTTAGTGTAGATCCCCCAGGGTGTCAGATAAGACTGGTTTTAGTGTAGATCCCCAAGCGTGTCAGATAAGACAGGTCTTATTGTAGATCCACCAGCGTGTTGGATAAGACAGGTTTTATTGTAGATCCACCAGGGTGTAAAATAAGACAGGTTTTAGTGTAGATCCACCAGGGTGTCAGATAAGAAAGGTTTTAGTGTAGATCCACCAGGGTGTCGGATAAGACAGGTTTTATTGTAGATCCACCAGGGTGTCAGATAAGACAGGTTTTAGTGTAGATCCACCAGGGTGTCAGATAAAACAGGTTTTAGTGTAGACCCACCAGGGTGTCAGATAAGACAGGTTTTAGTGTAAATCCACCAGGGTGTCAGATAAAACAGGTTTTAGTGTAGATCCACCAGGGTGTCAGATAAGTCAGGTTTTAGTGTAGATCCACCAGGGTGTCAGATAAGACGGGTTTTAGTGTAAATCCACCAGGGTGATGTCACAATTGATTTGCTTGTTCTGATGATTGCTCAGCTTTGAGCCGAAACAAGTAAACACAACGCTGGAATCAATTCATCTAGAAACAGGATTCTGCCGTGTTGTCCAGTCGCTCTGTCAGAACTCATTGATTGGTGGTATATGTACATATGTAAGAATATTTTTTTGTGCAATAAATTTGATCACTTATACATGTATAGACGGATATTACCATATATAATATTTTTCAGTGGGCATTTATAACAGTGAAACTTTGTGACTCTTGTAAGTATTACAGTACTTAATTTTCTTGTTTTATGTGTAAGTAGCTACACAGATTTTAAGCAGGGAACATGGAGCTATATCACCTGTCTGAAGTGCATATTTCATCCACTGAAACATGATACAAAACCTAAAACATTTAATCAATAAAACTTCCTTTAAATAAAAGATATGAGTAATGGATTGGGGAAGTGTATAATTTCTTATATTCCCAGTGCATGTGATTATATTAACTGGCTATATATGCTAGGCGTAACCAATGAAATGGAAAATGCAAGAATTGTTTTTTTTGCAGTTTGATAAATGTTTATATTGGAAACTACATTATAAGAAATGTTTCACTTCTACTTATTCTGAACCAAACATACTCATTTTTGTTATGTTGAGCTCGTTTTCTAACCAAACACACTGATTTTCGCTATGTTGAGCTCGTTTTCTAACCAAACACACTGATTTTCGCTATGTTGAGCTCGTTTTCTAACCAAACACACTGATTTTCGCTATGTTGAGCTCGTTTTCTAACCAAACACACTGATTTTCGCTATGTTGAGCTCGTTTTCTAACCAAACACACTGATTTTCGCTATGTTGAGCTCGTTTTCTAACCAAACACACTGATTTTCGCTATGTTGAGCTCGTTTTCTAACCAAACACACTGATTTTCGCTATGTTGAGCTCGTTTTCTAACCAAACATACTGATTTTCGTTATGTTGAGCTTGTATTCTTCACCAAGTTAATGATTTACTAATAAAATTGAATATATTAGAATTTGTTTGTGCAGTTGTCTAAATGTTAATATTGATTATTTTAACGAAACACACTGATTTTCATTATGTAGAGCTTGTTTTCTTTATTGCTGCTGTTCCTGTTCTGATTTGTGATCATTTTGATATTTTATAAAAAAGGAAACAAATATTTAACCAGAAACACAGTAGTTAGAGATGACTAGTGGTTTTATTTTCATTTTTTCAATTTTAAGCCGGCTTTTTCACAACTATACAATACCTGAAAATAAATTAAGCAACTATACATGTAAGATTTAAATAAATAAAATGGGTCCTGAACAACCGTGGAAGCCTTGAATGTTTACACACAGCGAATATTTTATGTCAAAGAGTACTCTGACTGGTAGAATAAATCATTGTGATATCCTTCAACACGTGTTGTATAAAAGGCTGAGTGAGATTCATCCGTTTGGTATTCTTACTTTTTTCACTTACAGTTTGTTTACTAAACAAATCTAAATAATACTCTTATTATCTTACAAAATAAATTTTACATATTTTTGATAGTGCAATAATTATTTGTAACCTTCTGTTGAATGTCTTACAAAAAGTTGACGTAGATTTGATGTACAGTTCACCTACAGTCAACATTTCACTCAAAAGAGTGAACTCTTCTTTATTTATTAGTGATGTGCAAGTGCAAACGATGTCACAATTTCCTATCTCTACACCAACAACCCCTGTGGAGTATAAATTTGTCTGGGGTGGGTGTTGCGGTGTCTGTGCTGTAGCATTCAAGTGAGGTGGCACTATAAATGATACTGTTGGAAGCACGGTCCCACTACAAACAGAACACAGTACATCTCCAGCATATAGGCATACACACATAGGGAGATATTAGCCAGGTGGCATAGGACTAGTAGTTAGCGCCTGATAAGGCAGCTCCTGCGAATTCCTCAAATATTGATTAATATATATGCTAATTGTATTGCCTGTATGAAATTGTATATCTATGTGCTGTAAAGTGCTTTAGAGTGGTTTATGTTAGCTAGATAGGGCGCTATATCAAATGTTGTTTATTTATTTTATTTTATGCAAACCAAACCCAGTTTGACCTGGGATTTTGAATGCAGTTAAGTGGAACTGGGTCAAATTACCATATTGTAACCATGAGAACCAGTTCAAACCACAGGGACCTGAGAACTTTTACAGTTTAGATATGGTTTGACCTGAGTTGATGTGTTATGCAGGGTAGTAATGTAAAGCATGTTGAGGCACAGTAGTCTACTGGTAGGACGCCTGGCTCGTGACCGAAGGGTTGTTGGTTCGCATTACGACACGGCACTGTGTTGTATCTTTGAACAAGATACTTTACTCCGCTTGTTGCAGTCTACTCAGCTGTAAATGAGTACGTGGTTGGGCAGTGCTGGAATTGTAGAATGCTAGTTGTGAGCGCCGAAATGGCAGCTCCGACTGTATGCTCTCCAGGAAGATGAGAAAGATATTGGCTGGTTGCAAAGGCCCTATAACCATGGATTATAATTCGTGAAACGCTTTGAGATGACCTACAGACTAGGTTGTGATAAAACTGTATATAAGAACCTTGAATTATTATTTATTATTATTATAGACATTTTAGGGGTATAGATCAACTTTCAGTACAAATGCCACCCACAGTGATGTATTACTATAATATATTACAAATGTACCAATATAAGGGAGGGAATTTTCACAGAGAGTCAGTTTAGGTCCAAACAAAAACTGTAGCAAACTCGCAGGTCCCTGTGGTAAAAGTGCTCATTCTGCACTGGCTTCCAACACTTCATTTTAAATTGATCCATTATTCTATAGCTCATACAGGTATGTTAAAACTGCTCACAGGGTCTAGGTAGAAGTTGATTTTTTTTTTAATTTAATACAATTCTTTGGTGTAACTTTTAGGTTTGGAATTTTGTCAATCTAGATTTTGATTTGCCCATGCAATTGCCAGAATAATCCCCCCACCTACCCCTAAAATAGCCCACTATAAAGTTTCCTCATTGTTCATGTTGTTCAAAGAAAAGAAAAACTTGGATTAAATATATACTGGTGACGATATGATTGGTGCTGATAGCTATAATTTACATTAATAAAATTAAATTGTATATTGTGTTTGTAGTTCATGTTTTTAGGTCACCTGAGCTTTAGCTCAAGTGACCTATTGCTATCCGTCTTCGTCAGTCGTCGTCCGTCAACATTTTATATTTTCAACTTAAGCTGAAATACTGGCAAAGGGATTTCATTAATATTTCATGGGAAGGTTACTGACATCTTCCTGACCAAGTGTTGTTATTTTTCGGGTCGATCAGAAATCCAATATGGCCGCCATTTTGAAAAACTATTTCCAACTTAAAGTCAAGTTCTACGTATACTGGGACGATTGAACTGAAACTTTGTAGGAATGATCGACTCATCGTCCTGACAAAGTGTTGTTATTTTTCGGGTCGATTAGAAATTCCATATGGCCGCCACGGCCGCCATTTTGAAAAAAGTATTTCAAACTTAAAAACAAGTTCTAATAGGCCGAGTTAACTGAAACTCGGTCTAGGAATGATCAGCTCATGGTCCTGACAAAGTTAAGTTAACGTTATACTTAACTATTTTGTACTCAAATTGGTACATATTTCAAAAATAAATACTGTAGGACTCAGGTGACCGTTTAGGCCCATGGGCCTCTTGTTATTATAAATGTCTCCCTGCCAAAATATTACTAAATGACAGTTTTCATTTACAGTCACATTTCGTGGTGTTTCAACCTCTGCCAAAAAATCAATGGAGTGTAAAAAGAACATTTTTTTTCAGCCTTACAGTTTGAAAGGGAAAATCACATGAAGAGTGTTTAGCATAAACACGACTATTCCTCAGAAGGGCCAGTTTTTCCCTCGTTATTTATTTTGTACAAATTGAACACTTTAACTTTTATGATGTATATAGGGTAGTTTTTCATCTAATGTGATGGTTGTGATTACCAGGACAGCAAGAAAAATATTAAGTTGTACCAATTAACTTTTCAATTTCAAAATTTGCTTTAAATGTCTTTTTCATTTCATTCAAAGATGGAACTTTTGAATTCATGTAAAGAAAGGATTATCATAGTTTTTAATACTTTATTTCCTGTAAATGAAAGGTAATGTCAATAACAAGATTTTCTGAGGAAATATTACATAACATTTTTAATGTCTGAATACTTTTGACAATAAATTAACAACAAATATATTCTATATTGTGTAAGAAAAAAATCATATGTTTTACACTTAACTCGACACCATATTTATTGTTCCAATGACATTACTGGTTAGCCAATGTACAAGTTCAATTTATACAAATAACATATATAAGTCACGATTTTTAATTGAGGTCTTTGAACATGACTTATCAGGGGGTTGAAAATTTAGGTGACTACTGCATCTCTTAGGGGGCTTGTTGAACCTTGAAAGAAGCATGCGACAGTGTAATGATAAAATGGACTAACTTTGAAATCTGTTGTCGCTCCACTAATATTCAAAGGTCAGGTATCAGCCCAGTGATAAGTCACGTTTTATAACTGAAACCAACTAAATAACTTACCGCAAGCCTTTTATTTTTGTCACAACCCATTGATTCCAGTGGTACATAGAAATATCGACAGCGGAACGCTCGGATTTTCGAGGCTTGTTAAACCCTCTATACAGGACTAGTGCTGACAGAAACAACACAAAGGCTTGATAACTGTTAACAGTGTTACTTTATTTTGTGAGAACAGACTGAATTAAAACAGTTTCAATGTACATATAACACATGTATTTAATAAGTAGTAAATTTGACGCACTCTTTCATTATTTCATTTCCATTTACCTTGAAGCACAGATCTGACAGAACTTTGTTGAGAAGTCTGTTTTCAATCATGGAAACATTCACTATTGTAGTACTACAGAAGTCTGTTACAAATGGAGTGTTAATGGGTGGTGTTGTTTTTTTTTATTAAACTTGATACTACGGTCAGTGCAGTAGAAAAATGACATTTGTAGGTCTGGATACTCAAATAATCGTAAAACATTTTAAGAAAATTGTTTTTAAACCTATTGTAACCAATCTCTATATTGTTAGTAGATTTAGTTATCAAAAATATAGTTAACGCTGAATAGTGTACTGGTAATTGAAACAATTTCCGGTAAATCGTAGAATTGTAATAAATCGTGCAACTTATTTGTAACAATTAATATTGGAGTGCAATTGTAACCAGTATATTAATGGTGCAATGTAATTGGAAAGTGTATTTCAAACCAATTCTTGGTACAGTGTAGGTGAAATCAAATAATGGTACAGAATCGTAAGCAATAAATTGTACAGAATATTTGTTACAATAAATTACCTAAATTACGATATGTTGACTAGTTCTGTTTAACCATATTGTCATGCCACTGCCCAGAATCTCCTTATCTAATTGGTCGAGGCAGGTCACGAGTTGACAAAATTAGTTCTGTATCCGGTCAGTGTTACCGAGTGAATATAAGGTGACATGGAATTCTACAAGAGTTACCTTGTATCTTCTTATCTGATACATCTCTAACAAACAAGATAAATATTATATCCTGTCAGTGGAACTCACCAAATATTACACCAAACCAATTATATTTTGAGTGAGTCAAAATCCCTACACAAGTTTAGTTATATTGTACCTATACATATTGTGTTTGGAGGCGAGTAGAACTACGTTTAATAACACATGTGACCAACAAAATAGCTGAACGGAACAGTTAACAAAAGTATCAATAATATAAATCTGACCAGTAACAACGTTATAGATTATAAGTTATAATTTACATCAACAAGAATCTGGTTGTACCAAGCTCCAATAGCAAACTCACACATTAAGTTTTTTGTTTTCAAAATGAATCCATACCAAGCTAATTACAAAATAGTGTAATAACTTCTATCGTTTTTGTTTTGTCTAATGGTAACCCCTTACTTCGAAGCTGATCTGATAGTTCAGTTGATAAGAGGGACCAAATTGTGATCAAAGGTCTGTGGTTCCAAACTCGGTTGGGGTCCCATAATGCATTGCTTTATTTGCTGCTTTTTTTGGTGAACACTAATGTTTTTTGATGTTGTTTTTTTTAATTTTATCTTAGTTTTTTTTATAAAGTTTCGCAATGCACGGGATCCTTTTTCTAACAGGTATGAAAATGACTATATCAGTCAGTGATACGAGGATTCTTAATTTTGAGAGATACGAAAATGACTCAGCCCTGATATGTGTGACAGAGCTGTTGGTGGTTGCTACACAGACTCCTGTTTATGATCATAACAGACCATTTATACAGTAGTACTGTTTGGTCCATACCTCACGATTCTGTTTTGACAATTACAAAATATCTAACAACTTAAACAAACTGTACCTCATCCAGTTCTTTTAAACTTCATAAAATCCAGAAAATGTTTTAGACAGAAAGTCTTTATTTCCACAATTACTGTAGATATCATTTGTATTATGTACGTATCCCATAACTACAGGTACACTTGTAAAATTTTGTTAAGACATTTTGCAATCACCAAATCACAAAACACAAAAGATATGCAAAACACAGTATCTTTTATCACATGGGTTGAAAGACAATATTTGCAAATAACGCAAACAAGAAAAATGATACCGTTTATATGAAATCTGTGTTGTCTTGATATACATAATGGTTACAAATTACAAAAAGAAATTCTCATTGTGATGTTTATTTAACTGAATATTGTGCACATATTCAACATACCTATATCTAATACTTATCTGAGCATTTAGGTGCAGGATAACTTTCAAGGAAACAAACGTAAAGATGTAAATTAGATACTCTGTATAAATTAATTGGAATGCAGACAGAAAATGCTGTATACTGTTGTACAGTAATAGCGAAAGAAACATTCAGCCACAGTAACATCAACAAAACAATGGTACCGACTTCCAATTTCACGAAACATCATAACTAAAACAATTCTTAACTGACATTCTCCATAAGGAAAATAAGTTAAGAAAACACTCAAGTTAAGCTAAAGGAACATCATGGAACTGTGGCTTGAAAAACTTAAGTCAGATACAACAACATAACAGCTGTAGCGAGCCCCGCCACAGCAACTTAGGACAATATATATATATATCTATAGTAATAACGACCCAATTTTACATTCGCCCATGAAAAATAGAATGTATTATTATTCAACAACAAAATTCTACTTTTTGTGATTCTAACAATGAATATTATAACAAACAATATACATCTGTACATGTAATTGTGCTGTGAAGGTAAATCGTATCAGCCAATCACAAACAGTCTTGCACTTTTCAAATTTAACAGTTACTTTTATCAAATTAGAAAATTCCTTGCACTTTCAGAACATGATAAATACTTCTCCTTGCACTTATGTTTCCTGACAGAAAAATGCTTTCATCATGCCATCCTTACGACAGGTTATTTTTTTCATTCTTAAATAAATCATCAATCATAATTCCAACATCACATTATGTCATAACAGCCAATCAAAATCATCCTATACATTCCTTTATGTTAAAACCGCCAATCAAAAGTAGCCTTATACATGTACTTTCCTTCATGTAAAAACAGCCAATCAAAAGTATCTTTACACATTCCTTCATTTCAAAACAGCCAATCAAAAGTAACCTTATACTTTCCTTCATAACACATACCTAAGGTATGTACCTAAAACTGATCGCAGACATTTCAGTGTTTTGCATGATTTCTTGACGTCTTGACTAATTACTTGTACATCAATTAATAGCATGATAAGAACAATGTGAAATCATGCAAGTAAAATGTTTTGATTAGTGTACAAAGACAAATTTGAATTTTCAAAATCAATACATCAAAGGACTCTCACATACTGAAAACTTGTTAACAGAATGGGTTTTTTCTGTGTCTAAAATTTCCTGTCGAATATTAAAAATGATCAGGTAACTCTGTATAAACCAACACTTAACAGAGCACAGAGTTAAAATTGATCAACGTCACAATGGAACATATACACAGGGAAGTAACAGCAACATGGCATCTGTTGTCCTTTTAACAATACCATATAAATTTGCTTTTTTGTTTACAAAAGTTCTGAAAATAATACTGTAAAATGATTTTATAACATTTCCAATGGAATGGAATGAGATATTTTCAATAATTGCCAACAGGACCATACTCTTTCTTCTTGCTCAGCTGGATAAACCTCCATCACAGTGGACTTTGACAATACATCACACTTGTTTCTACTGGTTTTAAATCAACATTACAGTGGCCCTTTATAGTACATTACACTTTCTCTATTGAAAGATGACAGACCAGTGAAGATTTGAAGAATTATTTCCAACTTAGAGAAGACAATCCAACAAAAATACTGATCTAAAAAGTTGTTGTCCAGACACTGTTAGATGTAATCTGACTACAATGTCTGTTACTATTTTTATCCACAAATAAGCCCACCCCCTACTTTAAGTCAGAAATTATGTGTTGGCACCCTGGGCCACAAGATATTTGACCATTATATTGGTATTTTCAGTAAAATATCCCATCTAGACATAACCATTTTATCGACTAAGAGAATGTAATTCATACTCAACACCATCATGTCTTAACAATTATAACAGTTCTCAACTCTTTCACCCCTAAATACACATTTAAAGTCTTCCAGTTCAAACGTTGGAATAGTTCATTATGAAATTTCAGGGGTGAATGAGTTGATTTAACCAATCACAGTTAACATTTAAGGGTTTGGTGAAATACCGATACAACAGGACTAAATCACACTTCACTGTCATCTGAATATAAAATATTTAGAATGATGTGGCAGTTATTTTGCCAACCCATCTGAACATCAATTATACACTGACTATATACTCACACTGTTAACAATATCTGTTCATAATGCACATATTTAACCTGAAAGATACCAAGCATATACTTCTCTGTAACGTTAAATCAATTCTGCATTCCAAAATCAGAAATCCTTACCATAGGTTTAAGGGAGTCAATGAGTTGACATCATATCCTCCCCAATTCCTGAATTTTACTGATTCAGAACTATCTTGCTCTCTTTGCTAATAAATTATATGACCGACTTTTGGAAATGAAAAAAGTGTTAAGAGCTGATGATGGGTCCCCTTGTCAGGGGCCAATTTTGGATCCCCTTTTATCTGGTCAATGACAGGGCAATTTTTTCCAGCTAATGGTGGGTCTCCTTTTGACATGACCCATTATGGTCCCTTTTGCCAGGGACAATGACGCCTTTTTGTTCAGGGTTCAATGGGACCTCTTTTATTGGGGACTGACACTTTTTAGCTCTATATCAAGACTTCTACAGCCTGATCTGTTAGATTACATTTGATATTAAATGACGTTTCACATAAGGTGAAATAAAATAAAGATAAAAATAAACATGTAAAACTGTGGTAACAAGTAATCTAGAAGTGGAATGCAGAATTACAACGAAAACATCCCAATCCTCCTCAGGATAAAACCACCACCTTGTAACAATTAACAGTCTCACCAGGTGTGGGTACTCGGAATGGATCACTTTTCATATCACGGTCAAAATGACATTACATAACAATTAAAATATTCACCAAAATCCTGAATTGTAAGAATTTTTTGAAGAGTTTTTTGCCCGTTAATTATTTAGTAGAATGCATGTATAAATTTTATCAAAAAAATTATATAACTAACACAAAATTCCTAAAAGTCTAGTCTTATTTTATTTTATGAAAATAAACACCTTTAAATTACAGTGTTTAGCCCATTAGGTAGACAAAAGCCTGTGAAATAAATTGATAAAATGCACAGTAAAACCTCGATATAACGCCCCTTATTTCATTTGTCACCTTGTTTACTGTCAATATACTTAAATTTTTCTCGTTTTCTTTATGCATTTTCCCTTAATTTAATGTCAATCCCCTTTATAATGTCAAAACTAATCTGGAAAAATAAAATGGTGGCAGTAAAATGAGGGTTAACTATAATCAAACGTAGAAAAACAATTGTGTGATCCAAACTGAGTGCACTCAATTACACCCCTATATTCTGTGGTATATTGTAACAATCTATTTATAGTAACATTCCTTGTTAATACAACAAATGTATCACCATCAAAAACAAATACATGAAACCATAGCAACCGGTGTGGTCCATAACAACAGCACACTCTTTGATTATCAACAATTGTTTCGTTGCAATGTTAGGATATACAGTGTAGTGATATTAAAATATAAATCGAAAGAAAACTTTTCTTTCGACAAAAAATAAATTAAAACATAAAATAATTGACTCTCATTAATAAATTATTAAATTTTAATTTCTCAAGAATAAATTTCAGAAGTCTAGAAATAAATGATTTATAAAATATAAATAATGGAATGCAAACAGAAATACCTAACTATATAAACAAAAACAATCTCAATAATTCAAACTTATTAACAATAATTTGTATTCTACTCTGGAATGAAATGGAGAACGATAACCTTAACTACAGTCAACATAACACTTTCCTTAATAGTACCGACGAACTTTTCAGAGTGAACCTCTCAATAGTATAAACAGAGGCCCTGCATCTTCACTAAATCCACATATATACATAACATTTAGTACCCAGTACCTTCCTACTTCATCACTACTTCACTCATTAACACATGGGCTCAAAACAGTGTTTTCTCCCATGGCTCCCAGCAATGACGAATATTGTACTGAATTTGAGAAAGAAAAAAAGAAAAAAAATACACCTGAGTAAATTTGAAAAATAGGAGTTGAAAAGTTTTTTTCTTTAGATTAATAAGTCGGCCAGATCAGGCTAACGACCATTTTTTTTTTTTTTTTGTCATTGTTTAGGTCTAAACTGGGTACCGGCAAATTAATTATGCAAATACATTGTTTTACCGAAGTCACAGGGAGAACACTGGTGCAGCGCCAGATTAAAAAGCTTGAACTGGAACATATTTCATTGATGAAATTCATCAGCTGAGTTCACACTTCCCACATTGGATAAAACATAATACCTCTTAATCAAATCTCATAATATAATCAGCCAAGTTACAATAAGGGTAAGCAACAATGTAGAAAGGTTCACGGGTAATAAACATATATAATTTGTTTATTCAAATTCACACACTTGCATTCACATGCAACTCTTAACACTTTTAAATAACAATGGAACTCTTTTTTTAAGGAGATATTAAAACAGTTATGTTGTGATGACAACACTACAGTGTGTCTATATCTACACTACTCTTGAGTATTTGTCATATTTCAGAGAATTACATTGATATGTTTAAGTGTTGAACACCCCTTCAATTTATTAAATGAAATTAAAATTAGGAAAAATTTAGAACCAAATTAATTTCCTCGTAAAAAAACAATTTCATATTTTTGTTTTCTGTTTAGATATCTGATACTCGGCATAACATTTTTCTTGAGTAACATCATAACAACAACAACAACAACAACCTGGTATCTGTTATCTCTCAAATTAAAAAAAAAAAAACTTTTTTACGGACACACGGTCTACATTAACAGTAATCTGGCAAGGTTTCTCTAAATACACACGAGTCTATGTCCTCCGTCTCGTCCACCTCGGTAGTTAGGCAACATTAACAAGTTAGAAACCAAATAATTTACCATAATGAAAATACAATTCCTCTGTAACTCTTGTGCCACAAATACGAAATACGATACAAATTAATATTAAAAAACAATATCTAAATAACAATATTTCCCTGTGTAACATAACAATTTCTCCCTTAAATACAGTTGTCTCCCCTTTGCATTTTACGATTTCGTCTCGTCATGTATCAATGTCTCCTTTCGGATCATGTGACTAGCCAAAGACACTCCCGTTGTATCACATGACTAACCTAAGATCTCTGTCTTGATAGTGAGAGGCAAGCTTTTGTTGATTGCATCAGGGCTACTTATGGGATCCATCACTTCCGTCTTGATAGTGGTAGGCAAGCTGCTATTAATTGCATCTGAACTGTTCAAAGAGGCCCCAGAAGGGTTGAGCAAAGAATCATGTAAACTGTTTTCAAGGCTGTCGTTGCCTTCATCTCCCACTGTGAACCCCCAGTGAAGCTGCTTCATGTGTTTGTTGAGCTCGTACTTGCGGACGAAGTCCTTGCCACACAGGGAGCAGATGTGGGGGCGGTCCTGAGTGTGGATGCTCTGGACGTGACGCTTCAAGTGGTCCGATCGGCTGAAGCGCTTATTGCATATTTTACATTCATGCGGTTTGATTCCGGTGTGTATCGATAGATGGCGCTTCAGGTGGATATTTTTGGCGAAGGACACGCCGCACGTTGGACACACGAAGGGTTTTTCGCCTGTGTGTGTACGGAGGTGTACTTTGAGCACACATAGACTGGTGAAACACTTATCACAGTAAGTGCAGTTGTACGGCTTATCTCCGTTGTGTTTTCTCATGTGAGTTTGCAGGTTGGACTTGGTGGTGTAGGATTTCCCACAAACTTTGCAATCAAAACCCGTGTGACTCTCCAAGTGCTTCCCAAGTGTCTCCTGGTCATCGTAAGTTTTGCCACACACCGGACAGATAAAGTTGAGCTGCGAGCCTTCCTCCTTTGAGTTGGTAGCAGTGATGGTCAGTTGGTGTGTTTTGAGCAAGCTAGTATAGTTGGGTTTGGGAGTACTCTGTGCCGTCACACCAAATTCTGGCCCGTCCAACCCACGGGATCGCATATAATCATCAAACAGAGAACTAGTGGTCGTCGTCGAGTTGGAATCAAAATAAAGGGAACTTAATGATTTCGCAAAGTTTCGGTTTTGAACATCTTCAGCAAAACTGGCAGAGCTGCCGACAGGATTGGGACTGGTACTGCTGTTGATTGTTGAGTTATTCTGACCCTCACTTGCCATACTATCATCCACTCCTGCCGATTGGCCAAACAACTTGTGAGTTTTAACATGATTGTCCAATTCATTTTTTGTGTCAAAGACCTCAGCACATTCAAAGCACATATGGCCGTCCTCTTCCATGCTCTCTGTGACTCGAGAGTTGTCTGCTCCTTTTGCCGGTGATCCTTCCAAGGGGCTGTTGGTCCTGAGGTCGTTGCCATGGTGATGAACTCGGGCACTTGGATTTACTTGATTGGGTGAGCTCAACGAGGATTCTTCTTCTTCAACTCCTTTAAAAATAAGAAAATATTAATTTGGAATCAATTTTACGTAAAAAAAAATAAAAAAATATAAAGAGTAAATATTTGTATGTACATCAATGAAATACTAAATTATCATCTCACATCTACTAATGGAGCCAAAACTATAGCTTTCTACATCTTGGTCATTGTATACTGCAGTTTTCAGAACCTGTTTATCACAGTCGTTTAATCAAAGAGTTGAGGATGCTTAAGAATTATGGATGAAAAAGTACCGAGAATAGAGATATATGAAAGCATGGTAAGATCTTTTGTTCCGGTAGGTATGTATGCAGTGTTTTTTTGGCAAGAATAGAATATTTTTTTATATCTTATGGCCTCATAGCTAATTATTTGGTTATTGATGGCATTCTAAAGCTTACTGAATTAGTGAATAAATATATTACGATGCAGCCTTCCTGTGTATAGACTCAAATTAAGCATTTTTCACACAAAACTGTTGTCAGCATCTGCAGTACATAGTTATGGACTTACGATTAAGGAAGATAATTTCTGATAATTGGATTTTGGATTTTTGTGACCATTACTAATTACAGGTACTAACATCTGAACTTAATCAGATTTCAATGTCAGTTACGCTGTCGATGCGCAAATAGATCAAGTTTAAGCGAGTTTCGCGAGGCTAATATTGCATCGCCGATAGCCAACCTCATTCAATAATTAAGTAAGTTCAGTACTAAAGTTGTGTGTTCTAACAATCCGAAACGTGTGTAAGCAGGGTTCGAACTATCACTAGACAGATATTTTTTATTTTCATTGTTCAAAAAGTGTGTTCGAACTACCGCCTGTTGGAACTGACCGGAGGTTTACCTTATATCAAATTTTAAGAAAATAGTAAAAAGACTTACCGTCCATCAATAGTTCCATTGGAATGAAATTGAGAAGTTTCTCTTCAAGTTTTGGAAATTGTTTGATAATCTGCAAAAGCAATGATAAAGACAAATGATAAATTAGCTAAGGCCAAACCAAAAAACATGTTTATTTCTGTTACATGTCTGAAAAAATAACTAATTTAATAAAATGTATTACCGAGTACTTACATATATATATCTACCCTAATTTAGGGAAGATATGTATGTAAGTGATAAATTTCATTTTTCATTTTTTTTCATTTGGTGTGGATAATTAACATTCACAATACACTGCACTACAAAAGTAATATAATTCACAGTTGGTAAATCATAATATTCATGTGTTAATATGTTGCACTGAATTATGAAATGTGAAATTAAAAAAATATTTCCGCTTTTGTTAATACAGTGCATAGCTTTGTATGGACCTAGATTCACAACACATCAATGATCAACTGATAATGGATTGATAATGTTCAACTTCTGATAAACTGGTTACCCATCGCTACCTTAAGTCCGTACACCTGACGATCATCGATACTGTGTATGATCCAGCATTTGAAGGCTTGCAGCATGCGTTCATCTGTGAGCACGACCTCATTCATCCTCTTCATGTGCGAAAACAGTTCATCCACGCCAAGATCAAGAAAGGCCTCCTCCTCAATCACCTGAAGACGAAAAAAAAAATCATTTTTATGATTTTTTGTTTGTTTACTTTCACTATGAATCGTACTCAAGTGATTAAGCTAATTTTTATGCCATACAACATTAATATAAAATGCTTTCTTGCATATTTGCAATACAAGAATAGGGGTTTGTGAAACAGACACTGGTTCAAATTTGGGAAAATCATTGGTTAAACTACAAAACTAAGAAAACTGTGAATGTCAAAATTTTGAAATTTTGAAACAAAAAGATTAGTGACCTTCTCATCCAACAAGGCGGACACTGTTGCCCTCCATTACATTATACATTTGTACACAGATTTACGATATCGCGTCAGTCAAAGATCGTTATGGTAACACCTGAGACAGGGATCTTATTGAACAGATTTCAACACTGTAGACCACAATGGACTCATCCAGATCAATTTATGGTAGAATTTATTCAAGTTTCATAGGGGTGAAAGGGTTAAGGTAGCTGCATCTGAATGTATTACCTTGTCAAAGTTTTCCTTTATGAACTCAGTGGTTTCCGAAAGCAGTCCCGAACAGAGACACCTGGTGGCAATTTTGTGTATCCTCAGACATGTCTCTACCTGAAGCTGAGTCGACAAAAAATCACAACATAGATTCTGGATTTCTTCTGCTTGTAGTAATGAGGCAGCTGGGAGAAGTGACCACACGTTTTCCTCGGTTACGGAAATGGCTGATGTATAAAAGAACTCGATAATCTGCATGACTCCATTGCTGTCTATGCCGTTGAGATGAATTTCTGACACACTGTTCGAAATTTCGGGTCGTAAGTTCATCAAGCTATTGAAATAGGGCGAGCTTACAGATAGAATGAGTTTGTGAGCGGGAATTTTAGTGTTGCTGCAATTCAATATGATGTCGCACAGCTCGCTTTTCTTCCGCAGTTGGTTGATTGAGCCAATCAGATGATAGGCGTGGTTGACGGATGTGTAGTGTAGAGTGTTGTCCATGGTGATGGCTGTTTGTTGTTGCACCTCGCTCGATTCTTCCTCCCTATTAATGTTCCCAGGTCAACATAACAGTGTGATGGTCTGTGAAAATAAGCATATGTCATATCACATAACTGGGACAATGGAAAGTTATATTTTTAAACATTACTGAAACAAGATTTTTAATTTCTTCAAGGATTCATGTATCGCTGCCAAAAACTGTTACTGGGTGTTGGAAATATGATTTTAAGTTTTACTACAGCATTGATGAATCAACAGATGTGTTGTCAGATGTGCCATTCATATACATGTACCTTGTTTCAACATCATGTTATAAACAATAGGAATTGACACCAAATTTAGGCCTATATAATAAGTCTTTTATAATTTCCCGTAAAATACACAAACAGTATACACAGTTGAGATACAATGGTAAACAATACCAATTTATACTACCTGTTGACTGTGTTCTTTCTATCACAACATATGTTTCCTGTTTATCATAACAAACATACAAAATGTTTACACATATGTGTACTTTCTTTTGTTTCTCCAATAACTAAACTGCAGAAAGTTTATATTTAACAATAGAATACTGGGAACAATTTCTATTTTGATCTTTAGAAAAAAAAATATTAGCAGANTCCACTTAACCAACAACTAGAGCAAGTATATTTCGTCAGATTTAAACAAAACAAAAAATACTACAAAAGCATAGGTCAGGATATAGTTCTAATTTTCAAAATCTGCCTGCTGGATAATTATAGTACTACAGATTAGACATGAACTCTACATCCCCATTCTGTGCAGTGTCATCTTTTCTTAGAAAAGGTCTAATTCTCCGATAAGGAAGCTGATACATTGTTAAAATACAGGAAACTAGACAATCTTTCTTAAAACAAATTAACATCCCCATGATTATTTAACCCAGTTTTGAACAGGAAGTACAACCTCCTATTTCTCTTGTGTATTCTTTTAAATTGTTCAAATATTAAACATGTTTTCCATGGTCCATTTCAAGGTAAATATCATAATTTAAAATAATACTGTTCTGTACAATTAGTAAGAAGCTGATTTTGTACTATTTAAGTTATTTTATTTCAAAATAAAAATAGTACAATAAGATAAGAAAGTGATTTTGTCCAATTCAAGTCATTTCCTAATTTCAAAGCATATTTTATTCTATAGAGTAAGTAACGAGCTATTTTTGTCAAATTCAAATTATTATCTTAATTTCAAATTGAATTCTTCAGTAACTAACCAATTTTTTTTTGTTCATTTCAAGTTTGTTATACTATTTGTAATTTCCAGTTCAATCATTATTACACTTTTAAAACCAACATTTTGGTATAGAATTATTTCAGATTTTTTTCTGGAAATTATTCTTTTCTAATTCAAATCAATGCCACAATTTCAAAATGTATTGTATTTATATATACATATATATACAAATAGTAAGAAACTATGCTCGTCCAATTGAAATAATTATCATAATTTTAAAAGGAAACTCTCTGTTAAATAAGTTCACAAATACAATATTCTTGTCCATTTCAAGTCATAATCAGAACTTATTTCTGTGAAATTATTTCAGAAATTATTCTTGTCCAATTCAAATCAATATTATAATTTGAAAATGAGTTTTTTCTGTAAAATTAGTTCAGAAATTGTTCTTGTCAATTAAATTCAAGTAATATAATTTAGAAAATGAACTTTTTTCTGTACAGTCAGTTAAGAAACTATTTTTGTTCAAAATTAAGGCATCTCAATTTCATTTTTTATTATTTAGGTTAGAAGTTATTTTGTCTATATCCATAGCATATATCATATGAAATCAATTAATGCACAACATGTAATTAATAATTAAAAGTAAATGTTTACATGTAGATCTCTCAGAAACCAGTAATTACCTGCTCGCTGTATTTGTACACAAACTTTCAGGTGTGTAAATAGAATCCTGTCAAATGTTTTTCTCCGTCCTTAATCACATGTAGATCACTTGAGAATGACTTCCCTACCATATTACGTACAAGTGTATATAGCACAACAGTGAAATACTCAACCTCAACTATCACTCTTCCTCCTCGAGCTCCGCCTCCCCAGGGCTGACACAACAGTGTAAAATGCCCCCTACCCAAACCACCTGTCAATATTTATCTGTGATTACTAATTAAAACAAACATCTGTCAATTACAAGGTGATCACTAATTAAAACAATTACCTGTAACACCTGATACATCATATCCTATCAAGAAAGGTGTTTACAGGTGTAATCAATCCTCTACCCAGAGCAAGCCTGCAGGTAAATGCTTAAACCTCCACACATGCATCCTATACAGCTTGGGGTAAGATCATAGGAAGAAATTACCTCAAGGGAAAATGTTCACACTCACCAAGCACACATCAGAGTATGACATATGCCAGTCACAAAGAGTGATGACTTTTCTAATTTTGATTTTTTTTAATTCATAGTTCAACATAAGCATGTACGATGAATGATATTTCATTTTGTGTCTTCAGCAATACAAGTAGTACAAGAGAAATAGTAACTTGCTTCAAAAACACAATACTTCTGTGCCCTGTGATGTTAACAAATTCCAGGAGGAAATGGATTTAATAAGCAGATCCTGATGTAAAAATGTAAGTTTTATTTTAAGGAAATATGATAGTATATCTATACCTATTTTTATTTTAAGGAAATATCATAGTATAACTATACCTAGTTTTACTTTAAGGAAATATAATATTATATCTATACCTCTTACTACTATAAATACTCTACTGAGCCTGTTTAATCTACATACATTCATATAGACTAGTATTGTCAGGAAATATTTGGTGTAATACATGTAATATTACTGCAAAATTTTCAATTTATCAAATTTTACTTTAAGAAATTTTCATTGTTAAAAATTGTATGTTGTGCTGAAGAAGATTTAAATAGACATATTTTGTTATCTAATCAATTTGTTGATTATTTCAGTTTGTTAATGAACAATATATACTAATTACTATTAAGGGATGAATGTTTTAGCAAATGTTGTTATGGTCCTATAACACACAATGCTATTGATGATAAACTGGTTTGTCAGCCATAACAATATTTGCTAAAATATTTATTATTTATATTTTTATTTCGATAGAGTAGTTATGCTTTATTTAGTTATTACGAACCGTTTTTGAACAGCAAATCAAGTGTTGACAACAATGAAATTGATGACGTCACAATAGAGATTGATGACATTACAATAGCAAATGTCGTTATAGTCTCATAACAACATTTGCCTTCGCAATGCATTACAATGGAAGGATGCAGAGCAAATGTTACTATTATAATATATGCTGTGTAGGCTGTATTTTAATGTATGCTTCATTATATATATTCATTTATACTAGGGCTGTCATAAATGGAAGACCAACTGGTATTAACCCTTTCACCCCTATATTAAACTTCACTAGACTCTACCATGCATTGATTTGGATGAATCTATTATGATCTACAGGGGTGAAAGGGTTCATTGCAATACACAGGCATGTTATATCATATCTCAATACAGAAATGAAATATTGCAGTATTGCAATTTTTTCAAAAGCTTACTTTTATTATATTTGATTGGTGTTAGAACTTTGCATATCATTAAAACTTTGTAACAGATATCCCAATAACCACTAGTGGTGGGAACAATCAAGTTAAATTAAAACTTTGTAACAGATATCCCAATAACCACTAGTGGTAGGAACAATCAAGTTAAATTTCGTTATAGCATGGTTAACATAACGTAACAAAATGGGAAGAAAAGTAATGAAGAAATAATATGAGTAGCAGCTAGCATTGAATGTAAGAAATAAACCGTATGAAATCAACAAAAGGATTAACTGGTAGGTAATTGAAAGCATTAACTAGAACGTTCAAAGCATAAACTATCTGACTTTTGGTCAGTGTAGCATGTCAAACACCCCTCTTACTACTATAAATACTCTACTGAGCCTGTTTAATCTACATACATTCATATAGACAAGTATTGGTTAGGAAAAGGATGCACTTTGGTCCTTGTACTCTAAATCACAGGAAAATGTGTTTTTAAGTAAAAAGACATTGTGGTATAAGTATGAAACTTTCACAAATTAAATATCATCATATAACTAAACTCTATGACAAGTTACATGCTTATCCCCAAATGCCTTTCATGTACAATCAGCACATAAAGATTGGAAATAGGCAGAACATTTGATAAAACAATGAAATCGGTTAACTTTAACGATTAAAGCAGATACTTTCCTTGAAGCTAGGTGACTTAAAATTACCAGCAAATCTAACTTCATATATTAAATCAATCATTCTTCAGTAGTTGTTGTGGAAAATGCCATTTTTGATTTGTAAGTTAACTTTGATAAGTAAAAAAAAAAAAACAGGACCTGGAACTCACTTCAGCCACAGGTGTTGAGCAAATATTATATGATAAATATAATATACAATACTAACAATTGACATCTTATACTTATATCATATAAAGGGTGTCATGCACCTTTTCATTTACTTAAAATTGAGAGATCTTTGAAATACCCAAGTTTGAGATGTGTCCAGAAGCCATAACTCAGTATAAAACAAAAGGAAAGTACGGTATGTATACTGTCAATATGCAATTTATGTAAGTCTACTTAAATGAGTGAAGTTGTAAATTTCAAGTCAAAATGTTAATTAGAAATTATTGAGATAACAAATTACTTTTCAATTGAAAAGTACCAAAAAGACCCCCCTGACGTAATCCTTCGTTTTATATAAACAATCTTTAAGTGACAATTGAATTTCTGTCATTTTTCATTCCATTACATATGCTTGTCTAATTTATACATGTTTTCAAAAATAGAAATGGTATTATTTTGGTTTTTAAGCTCATTTTGAAAACAGCAAACTATATTTGTGATTTACCATACCCCTTTTGGTACCCCCAGAAACCCACTTTCGTTCAAAGTTTTACCTTAGTTTTTCCGCATGTCATACAATAGGACATCTTTGAACAATATCAGGAGGTGAAAATCCCAATATACAGGGGCCCAAAAAGGGCCTTATAGACACCCTTCCT